ATCTTATCAGAATACATAACACCGAATGGGTAACTGGATAACTAATCCCATATCCTGTTCTGTTTTATTTTATACGATTTTAGTATGTTTCAAAGCTGTAGAAGTATATTTTATTAATATCTACCTCTAATCTAAATTAATTATTTTGACATAAATACTTTTTTGAAATAAATATAATTAATGTTTTTTTTTTTAGTTTCGGGCTAGATTAGTTAAGAAAATAGGTTCGTTCATTCAATAAAAGTTCGATTTCTGGTAAACAATATGTGTCATTGGCAATCCACGTGGCATTCGACGTGTAAAATAAACATTGAAACATTTCCAATTGCACGCTTTTCCAGTTTGTGATATCAATGAATAATTTTCCATTCAAATCTGTTTGTCAGCAATAAATTTATTTCTGTTACCATTATCAAATTCACAAATTCATCTAAATTTCCAACAAAATGTCTGATTATTTTTAATAAATCTGATATTATACTAAATACCCCATCTAAATAAGAAAGACGATTCCCCATAAATTCATGTGTTACCCAGATACTGATAAGGTGGTTATCATTCATTCTTCGCTTTCTGATTTAGTGTGCCAGTGAAATATCATTTTAAAGTGAAAATGGGTACAATGTTTAAAATATTATCCAAAATTAATAATTTCAAAGCAGCGAATGGCGCTGAATAGTTAACACGTTGATGAACATTGTTGACCAGCACTAGAAATTAAGAAATAATCAAATAATTAAGAAATGGATAAATGAGTATAATTTTGAATAACATTAATATTATTACACTAATAATATAAAGCAATAAATTGAAAATTAAATTATTGTACGTTTAATAACTATTATCATAAAGAATTTTCATTGTGACATTCAACGTGTTAATTAGAATTGTAACATTAAAAGAAATACTTAGGTACTATAGTAACGTACGATCAGGTAACTGTCGTAAACACTTCATTATTTCCCTTTCAAACGCAACTGCTACGGAACAAGGTGTACGTACGGAATAAATAATTAAACGATTATTCAAGAACGTGCCGGAAGCACATTTGCTCCTGTTAATTAAACAGTCGACGCCTGTTCCTGTGCGACACTTTAACAAGCTGAACACTTTGAATCTGCTGTCATTTGTTCCGTTTCCAATTATGCGTAACGAAATTACATTCCCGTTAATGCACGTCTGAATGATTTGACCATTCAGATTGAAACTACGTCGATTGAACATTTTAATCGATAATTATCAGATGTAGGAATTGAATATTTGAAAAAATTGTTAATCCTAGGAAGTCGGAATCCATTCATCCCTAATACTTTTTAAAAAAATAATATCTTTACTAAACCAAGATCTTCTCTCAGTATTAATTTCGTAGATATAAGTAAAAATAAATAATTTTTTGCAATTTTTAATATTTTCTAACTAGTGACCTCCATCAAGTATATCTACTAAATAATTCTTGTCGCTTTTTATTGACTGAAAATCATTTATTGTATATTTATTTATTTATTTAAAAAAAAAAAATAAAGCATGATATTCAAAAGTGTGCTAGAATATTATTGTAACCAACTGTATGTAGACATTGAGACACACAGATAGGAAACAGCATTCTAAATATCCAGGAATACACGATGTCGTCGTTCCTTTCGCTTACGAAATGTCTTTGACGAGAAAAGGCTGGCATCGTTGCGAGGAACCAGCTGGAAACTGAAATAACTGATTGCCTGTTCGATATCTCACCAGTGGCGATATTCACGAGCAGTCGTTCATATTATAGTACCACCTGCCGCAACACCATATGCTCCCATTATTACCGTTCACCGCCCTGTATACACGGTGTACGTCATTTTCATTGCGACCACGTCGAACATGTTCTTGTTCTGCTTTCGACACGTAGATTAAAATTCGGTTTCGTCGAACAAAATTATCTATTGTTTCTGGATATATAGAATTCTTGATATTTCATAAAAAATAGCTTAATTTTTATGGAAAACGTGACCGGAGACTTGTTGCATGCCTACTTACATGTGCAATAATTAACGTAGGTACAGGGTTATATTTTTAACAATTGTTACGTTAATAGCATAAAATTATTAGAGGTATTTGTCTTGTCTTTTTTTTCAAATTTAACTTCTAAAACATCAGATAGCAGGTTTCAATGAAGTAAATAAAAATGTAATTTTTTAAAGAATATAATTTTACCAGGTTTCGGGGTTCCAGGGTTCTCGTCGTAGACCTCCTTTCCCCAGGTTTCCGGCCTTCCTCGTAAACTTTTATGGGTTCCCCGGTTTCCGGATTTCTCACCCTTCCCTCAGGTTTCCCCTTCCTCGGACTTCGCCCCTCCTCGAAAGTGGTCCCAGGGAGAATGGCAATGTAGGGGAGAAGGCCCTAAATACATGTGCATACATATGTAGGTCTGTCCTCCGCCCCCACTTGTGTGCAAACGTTTTCAGAGGAAAATTTGAATTAATATTTACTTTGTTATTCGTACTTCCCAGTTATATACTAAATTTTCTAATATTTTGTAATTAAAAATTTTTTGTTCTAAATCTTTTTGATTATTAATATTGTCAAAATTAAGGTTTTAACGATTTCTGCTTCTTTTATAATGCCATTTTCCTCAGGGAAGTCGAAATCAAAGTTTAAATTATCCAATAACAAGGACGCGCTATTTAAATTTGCACCTCCTGAAATGAAAGCAATTTTAGCTTTCATTTTACCGTGAAATTAATAATCGTTAACCCAACATTTAATTATTTAAAATATCAGGAAATCAGAATTATGAAATTTCATTTCGAACGTTTAAAAATTGCTTCATCGAAATAGAAATATTTCTTAATATTATTTATTATCAAATACCCCATTTGTTAATAAGCTGTTTCCGAAACTTATCTATTCATCGTTCGTTACTTTCAGAACTAGAATTTGGAAAATTTTTCAAGGAAATGTTGCGTGCATGAAACCTTGCGATATCCTGGAATAGATATCGATCTGCTTTTAAATTGAACGAAGAAAATAGAGTTGTTTTGAAATTTAAATCAATCGAATCAGCAATTACAATAAGATACAGTGGTTCGTATTTTATTATTGTGCCCCACTTTGCACCTGCCCAGAACATTATGATTCACTGATATCGTGTATCACCTGTAACGTACTCAGCATATTTCAAACCATAACTGTAAATGATGTATTGCCTAACTTTTGATAAATTTTTGTTTATTTTTTTCATCGTATGATTTATCGTATCGTAGGCGTGATAATGGAATCCAATATCTTATTCATTTTTCAAAGAGTTTTCTTATTCTGAACATTTTCTGTATTGTCATTATTGTTATTGCTTTACTTAATTTAGTGTGAAATAATATTGATAAAAATATTATGGAATCTTTATATCACTAGTATCGTTATAATCTTATATTGAAGAGAAATAAATTATTAATTTTCCTAATAAATATTTAATATATAAGTGTTAGAGATATTTTGCAATTTTCTAATGATACATTTTATTTTTTAGATGAAATACATTTTTTCTACTTAATTAGACCTGTCATAATATTAATTATATGAGTGATTAGATATCCTGTTCTTTATATAGCAATATTTTAGAAATACCTAAGTAATTGTTTTATTTAACAAAAAAAGAAGTATTTTCATGAATCAAACAGTTATATCAGCCTTCACGACTTGAAAATTCCAGCAATAAGGTGATTGTCAGCCAAGAATGGTAGAATGGGTTTAGCCTTTTAAGGAGTGCACCTGTTAAGTTCTATTACCCGTTGGAAATGTCTTCAGCGGTATTTTCGTAAATGGTCAAGCTCTAATTTGCTCGGCAGAAATGTATGCTCGTTCTCCTTCGCGTTATAGTTTCTACTTGGCAAGGAAATTAATTGGTATTAGCAGTGCTGCAGATGCAAATCACGAATATAGTCGTGTTGGATTTTGTAATAAGTATATATATTTGCAATAATACGAGAACATTATACGTAAGATTAATAATTTTCATTAATTGAGTTCTGCATTAGGAAGAGAAGAGATAAGAGCTTGTTTCTGATTATTTGAGTTTGTCCTGCTATTTATTCCTCTCTAAATACTTGCTCTATTATTATTTATTAAATTATAAATTCATTTCACAGACATAATTCAAAAATATTACATTTATATTTAATATTGACCTTAATTTTAAATCTGTAATTAACGTAAATGAACATTACAATTTTAAATTGTGGTATATGTAGCTTTAAGTTCATGAAATACATAAGACACCGTTATTCTCTTAATTTGCTTCGATCGAGTAAAAGAATATGAAACAAACTAAATTTATAAATAGTCACTTATGCAAAAATTAATCTTTACATCATCCTTTTAACGTAATCGATGAAAAGAGCAGATAAAAAACTTGGTTAATTAGACTCTTACATTATAAGCCTTCTATTTTATATGGTAGCTACTATTTCGAAGCACGATTTTACCAGTAAAGCGTATTAAAGTTTTCAACATCTTTTCCATTTACCTTTGCTTTTAGCGCAGTCCTCTACAGTGGTACGTTAAAATTATGATGGCACTCCAGAAACTCGAGCAAACTCCCATATCTTTGAAAGGTGTTCGATTTTAAATTCCGTAAAGCTCTTTTAACACTCAGACTACCGTGTCACTCATATCTGGGTCATGAATCTCATCATGAATTTCCATGGAGATCTATTACCCGTTTTATGTTAAGCAATCTTACTTATCCATTTTCAACCAGAGATAAACTCCGAGTGCTTGCGTCACAAACATACATTATTAAAATTTAACTGAATATGAATTTTTTTTTTTTTTGAGAAATCTCATCAAGGTTTTCAATGATTCATATCATTTAAGGTATTTAGATTGTAATAAAAAACAAAACAAAAAAAAGCAGAAAACTCTTATCTATTTTATCTGTGATCACTATTTAAGCCGTTAAAATACGAAATGATGTAGAGAGAAGGAAAAGCTAATATCAAAGTGACCTGTTGTGATTATAGACCCCAAGGGAGGACAGGGCAGCGTCAAGTCCTGGTAATCAGAATAATCACACACCCACACCATCGCCGTCACCGGTCGGAGATGCCCCCGTTGGCAGAGCCCTTATGGAGGCTGCGCTTCAGCAAGCCACTTCCGGAACTCAGCCACCTCTGGTGGTGACACCGTCTGGATACTGGGTCGACGGTACCGATCATCGACACGCCCTGGACTCGGTCGGCAGGGCGTTACTTCCGGCACAGCCTGCCTGGCAACCCAGGATAGATCAAGATGATACGGCTAAATGCTACAGGCGATTCTTTGTCGGAAGGGTACGTAAATAATCATTTCTAACGCTTTTATTCGATACTCGACAGCCTCGCTTAAGGGGGACACTTTCACCTTTCATATAGAAAATCAGAATTTTAATCATTTTTTTTTCTTTGTTAATTTGATAACTAATGAACATAATAAGGTGATATCCGGTTCTACCGTCGTTACTGAAACATATTGTAGGTGTATTGGATGTGCAGTCAATTACGTGTTTTTTTAAGTACTGAGAATCCACTTCCCTTTTTTTAACCCTCAGGCGGCGGACCATGGAGAGATCCCCAATTTCGATAAACTCAAACTCCGTTGTTCAAGGGTTAATGTTCTTTATTCATTTTAAATACGGAATTAAATGAAACTTTTTGTGAGAAATGTTTTAAATAAATATCATTATTAATTAATTTCAATGCTCTATTTGAAGCATATTTATTTTTCATGGAATTAAGAATAAAAATTTCATCCCAGATAAAAATAATGTAAATCTTAAGCATCACCCTAATCTCTATGTCATGTTTGCCTAAATTTAATTCACCCCATAACCAACCCCAATCGCAACCTTGAAAGGGTTGAAAATTAATCATGTACAATTTCACGTGGTACAGGATTAGTACCCTGTAACAACATGTTTGGAGTTTCCATAAATAACACCGTACCAACCTGAGTTTACTATTAGTATTGATTAGAAACTCGTCTACACGAATACACTGAAACCCATTGATTTTCTGTAAGTTCTATTCGGTCTGAACTACACAACTTGGAAGCCTTGTATCAAACAATTCTCATTAATCAGTATTATTCGTCATTCGATAAACGTTCAATTTCACGGTGAGGCCGGTATACGTAACACGAAATTCGAGTAGAAACCCATTGTGTTGCAATTGCATACCGTTTACCAGTAACACGTCGCTGGTAAATTGCTTTCGATCACTAGTAAAACTACAAATCCATATTAATTAAGTAGAGTTAGGAGGGAATTACAAGATTAGTCAGCTTACCCTTGAAACAACACGCAGTCGTAAACATCGTTGAACCTTTGCCAACTTCGTTCTCTGTATCCCCTTGTTTAATTGCTTTATTATACGCCGTTATTATCGTTTAATGAAAAACATGGGAAAAGTTAATACATAGAGTGCTCCAGAAATAGAAAACTACACTTTAATACTTTGATGGCCGATGTTGCTTATTCGTGGTTTAATTTTTTACACTTATTATTCATTAATTATTTTTAAATACTAATTAAAATTCAAAAATAAATAGTGGTGTAGCGTTTAAGGCACCTAATTAATTTGTTAAATTATTAGATCAAGGAGCAGAAAAGAATCTTTCTTTATTTTAAAGATTATTAAATTGCGATGGGAACAATGAAGTAATCGTATTTAAATGTTTTAAATGTTTTGAAATATTGCTATTGCTCCAAATGAATGGTTCCTAGATAGGAATTGCATCTTTATGCATGACGAAGCACCATGCCATAAACTCAAGAGTGTAATCAAGGTTTCGGCTGATCAGCATGTATGAACCTTGCCCTGGACAGGTAATAGCTCTGATATAAAGCCCATTGATAACTTTATGGGTTATAGCGAAGAAAAAGATAAGCCGATGCATTATGACCATAAAGGAGGAACTGATAGAAAAGCTCCTTAAAGTATCACGATGAAGAAATAAGAAAAGTCGTCGTATTAGGTGCTGGAAAATGGATTTATATAATACAAGATTCAAGTAATCAGAACTCTTTAAAAAGATATAATACATTACATAATACATATGTATATTAAAAGCACCTAATTATTTTGAATAATTAATATTCTATATGTATAGAATAATTAATATTTCTATACTTAATGATAACTGCTAATTAATATAGTATGATTAATACATATCTGAAATATCGTCATTATATTCGCATTTCGAATCATTGATAACCTCTATACGAGCAAACGATGCAGTAAGGTTATAATGACCTGTTCAGCACCGATTAATGGTAACAATGAACTCACGAGAGAGACCTTTACGAGCATACCGTGGCTTTGATTTTTCGCTGTAAAAGTTTTTTAAATAGTTCTGACCTTTAGATCCATCCTTGTACGTTAATAATATACCCGGAAGGCTTAAACAGTGTAAATAATACCTTCTATTGAACGTTCGCTATTTTTATCCCCATTTACGTAAAAATTTAATATTTAATATTTAAGCTTCTATTCTAAAATGGTAATGGAGGATCGACAGTTCAAATAAGTAGGTCTTGATGGGGTAGATTTATCTCATTTTATAGTTTTAGAATATCACAAAAATATTAATAATATTTGAGATTAATTTTTTTTTTTTTTAATTTTTATTCAATTCTGCTAATATTTTAGTCAAAAATAGCCCAAGTTCTCCACAGTACGCCATCCAATTTGCTTATTTCATGATCACCTGGTATATAAATTCGCAAGCACGGTAGTGTGCACAGGTAGAAACGGCGAAGGTGGTTAGAAAAGGAAACCGAAACGAGATAGAAGGAAAAAGAGACGCAGGAAAAGGGAAAGAGCACTTCGGGCGTGGGAGTGGGAACGTTCTCATAGTCTACAAGCAATGCCTATATAAGAAGAAACTCTCCTCTCCTCTTCGACATCCCTGATTTTCATCCTTAACCGCTTTTACGAAGCCTCCTCTGCTTTTCTTCCACCTGCCCCTCTTCCTCATCAGCCCGTATCCTCTCACCTCTTCAGGATTATTTGTATAGACGGTAACTCTCTGCTCGCCACGGTCAGGTTCCTGTTTTAAATCTTTCAATCGCCTCGTTTTTACCCGTTTCTTCCGGGATTTTTCTCGTTTCTATTTCCTCGGTTTGCGTGGTTTTCAGTGAATTATACCGACGAAGAATATAACCGCTTTCTCTCCCTTTCAACTGTACTTTCTTGCGTTACGATCAGGTTGCACGACGTGAGAACATCGGCGATCGCGAATGAACGTGAACTTTGCTTATGAATTGCGGTGAACGTTCATTTGTGATCAATAGATGCAATTACAGTATCGATCAAACGTTTGGACACAGTTAATTACACGACAATTATAGGGTCATTTCTACCCAAGTAAAAAAATTCAATATGCAAAATATGCAAATCTTATTTCTTAGCTTATGGTAAAAATATAATATTCTCATGTGAAAATATTTTTCAAATTTTCCACGTAATTCCGTCTTCAGACGAAGATACAATGATGTCTTAATTAAGAGTCAAAATGACCGTAACTCAGAATATTCGTTTTTCGAGGTTTTAATAAAACTGTAGGGTCTATTATAAAAATGCATAGCTTCCTTTTAATTGCAGGTGATAAATTTTTACGACACCTAATACCATGGGTGATTTTTAATAATTATCACAACTTTATGACTTCGAAGTTCAGTTTTGTTCACTTTAAATTACTTTCTCACGTTTTGCGAAATGCATATTTTCTACGTCATCAGTTTTATTTATAAAGGATCAGAGTGTATTCAAGTAGAAAATCGAAATACTGCAACAACTTGCGTGTTTCTCTTGCCACTAACACCGTTTCTTATCGCTATAAAGAGAGCAAATTTGTGCAAACTAAAACTTGACAGACGGCTGTTTGAATCGCATGACGTCTGTGGTATGTCATTGTATACCTCGGTATGATAAACGCGTGACGTGCCGGAAACATCAATTGATTGTGAAAGGGTTAAGAAAATATTTTAGTCTAGAAGGTTCAAAGAAATCAGCTTTTGTATTGCAGTTATCAGGCTTTTGAAATCTTCAAAAAATTGCCGGAGTTACTGTTTAAAAAATATTATTATTTAATTTAATTGATTCCAATTACTGAAAGTAAATTTCGTTCAAATTCAAATAATAATAAGAAAGAAAATTCATTCAAGTAATTACAAACTGCATTTGAAAATAATACATAACAGATTGAAAGCAGAAGGTTTAATTTCAAATTCAATTAATATCAAACTTCAACGTGATACCATATTCCCTGGTTTGCTCGTTCTTTAAAAATAAGTTTGACAGAGTTCGCGTAAATTTAACGAAGAAGAAGATGAAGAAATTTCTTGCTATTAAAAATTTCATAAAGTTGCGAAGCAACGATTTATCTACAAACAACTTCGTGCTTTTAGGCAGTGCTATTAAGCTACTTATTCCATCTTATTTCATTTTTAATGGAATAACCAGTGTATTAATTTAACGTATGTTTAATTAATTAGAGCCTCATTTCAGTTCACAAAATTTGTTAATCATATTTTATTCTTGTATATATATACCATACAGTTTTTAACATTTTGTGGAGGCCTATAATAATATACTATGGATATAAATATCTTTTCCGTTAAAATTATTCATTTATCATTTTTATATTTTGTGTTTCCATTGTCTACTTCTTAGTTCGCTGAAAACAACACGGAAATTGCAACGGAATTGTGATGGATAAAACATTGTTACGGGAATGGTTAAATCAATCTTCTTTTGTAATTAGCATACGAAACGGTCCATCCCTTCCGGTTTTACCGAGCTTTTCTAGAAAATAATCATCCCTTTCTTGCCGTTCCGTTTTATCCAATCATCTATTTCCTATCCTTTCTTTCTTTTCTTTAAGTGCAATTGAGACGTTTAATGTAAAAGTGGTGTAAGTGAAACAAATTGAATACTGGATAATGAGAAAAGAAGTAAAGGTTCGATAAAATACAGTAATATCAAAGAATGTTACATCCCTTGTATGCAAGATGTTATTAAGGCTTTTTTATCCATCTTAATTAGTGAAACACGGAGGAACCCTCATAAATATGTCAATGGTGGACGATAAACAAAAGCTTCGGACTACTATTAACCAAATCAAAGAGCAGCATATAAGAGAGAAAGCATGGAAAAGAAGAAGCTCCTTTTTTATGTCTCTTGACAAAAAACCTTTTATCAGTAATGAGTGACACATATCTATCGGCTACCAGTGAAACAATGAAAAGATAACTTTGATGATCGTACGAGAGTGTCCTTCGTCTGTACTTTGATTAACAGCTTCTAATTAAGCTTTCGAAATCTAATTTTGTAAACTCATATGCATATATAAAAATGCTCGAATGGAATAGATATTGTGTGTTCATAGATAAAATAATGAATAATTTTTCAAAATATTGGGTCATTCTAAAAGTTAATATCGTTCAGTATTTATGTTTATCGCGGTATTATTTTATAAATAAAGACAGTCATGAAAATCTTCGTATAGTATCGAGCATAGTAGGCTTCTCTAGGGAAAATGACGTTACAGCATAAGGAGAAATTCTCAAAATCTTAATTTTGTCAATGTTTAGTAAAAATGTTTTTGCCAGAAAGTCATTAATACGCTTATTTATTTCGCAGTCTGATATTGAATTCATGCACGACCTGCGCAATATTCTTTCTAAAAATAACATGCAAGAGTACTTACGTATGGTCTGATGTAAACAGTATTTGATGAAATATAGCTAATTATCAGAATAAGGAAATACAGTATTATGACGATATTATTATGGTTAAAAATAACGTTATCAACGATTCAATGCTTCTGGATTAAATATGTTTGATGTGTTTCTTTTAATGTATGCAAATGAAATTTATCTTTTTCTTTTTATATATGAAAAGTATATCCATTTTAAGACATCACAAATTTAATATAGCTCAATAATTAAGAAAAAATTTCTTAACTAAGAAATTAAAAAAGAATTCTAAGTATAACATATTAATTTTGCAAGTTAGGATTTAATTACAATTTACATAATTTAGAAAGATGATACGATACTGATGCTAGTTATCTAGACTATAAATCTGTAATTTTATTGAGTGCTATTGTTACAAAATACCGGTTTATCTCACCGGTTAATCACGACATTCCTCATTAACTAAAACGAATAGGAATCTTGAATCGATTGAACGATTTATACGAGAATCTCATGACTTGCAACTATTTTTTCTGCTTTTCTGCATTGTAATGGGAGTTCTCTGATGGTTACGTCACTGCGTAGATTTGTGGGCTCATTGTGCGTGCATGCGTGCATGCATCCTGTTCTCATTGCAAGGGTACACAATGCGTTTGAGGTGCAACGCTTTCCTAAGCCACGAATGGGTAGTCTAGAACACACAAAAAAGAAAAATAGTGTAACCAACAATAATGCTTGGAATTTAATTAAATAAAGTAATCAAAATGTAAAAATGAAACAACTAATACAAAAATAGTAAAGTAGTTTAAAAAAATATAAAATAGTTTCAAATTGATGTAAGTGTTATTTTATAATACTTTTACGTCATCAATTGTAACAGCAGATGTCAAAGTTTTAAAAATATTCCTTTACTGAACACCGTGGGCCAATGGTGTCCCATGCAGAATTCAATTTGCTACTAAATATCGTTCAGTAAAGTTCTCATCAAGCCCCGTTATAAATTCCTCTACAAAGTTAATTCGACGTGTGAGGTACACGTTATAATCTTAATTATTAGAAGAAAGGTAGGAGTAGGTGAACTATAAATTTCTAGAATGAATTGGACCAGTTTTGTATCCATTTTCACGTGTTTTCAAGTTTCCTGCAAAGAAAACTATTTGTCCAAACGACTCTATTTTCGTGGGTCACGTTTAACGTGACACGTATACGTATTGTCGATCATAGATTTAATTCAGGCTTATATTTCTGTATCAGTTGGAATCGTAACAAAGTGACATTAATAATACTGAACATAATGATGTTCAGTGAATAGCCAATTTAAACAGACGTACATGTTTAGGACAGTCGTCATTTTAACCCGTTAAACGTTGCAATAGATGGTGGTCTCTATTTTCTATTACTATTTTAAATTATTGTGATCTCAGCAGGATTCAGAATTAATAATTAATTTTAAATTAAATTGATAACGTTGATTATTTATGTTAAAGATGTATTCTAGTCTAGATGATTATTTTTAAGGTCATTATTCATTATTGCCATTTGTAATTATATATTATTCACATATACACTATCATAGGGGTGATGGTGTTTCAACTCTAACTAACAGATTTTAACTTTATAAAAATTCATAAATTGCCCTCCAATTATAAGATGAAATAAATTATTTGCTCTTTAACAGCACTGTGTAAATACAAATACGAAATAAAATTGCGTATCTCGTAATTATGATTTTGTGCTTCAAGAGTTTCATTCAAATTAACTTTTTATTCCTTCTGCTTTCTTTCTTGTGTCCTTTTCTCTGCTCCAAAGAAAACTGCAGGTCAAAGGTGCTAATTTTGTATAATTTTTTAACGAAAGAGTTTCATACATTGGAAGAATAATTTTTAATGGAAGAATGTACGGTCTCTCTTCATGGTCCGCCATCCAAGGGTGAAATATCGTACTATTCAAACATACCCTGTATGGTATAAAATGCTCTTGTGTTGGCAAATTATACACCTGCGATAAAAGTTAATGTAAAAAAGAAAGGAAAAAGAGATATTGTCCTTTTTTTTTAACACCTGTACTAATTCATTGTCAACAAAGACATCACGTTACATATCAAATACCCTATTGTTAGCAAACTGTACAAATTATAAATAATATTGAAAGAAAAATATTGCACCATTTTGCTGTATCCGAAGCATCAAAGTTAGCCGACAGCCAGTGCATTTCACGACTCCGTTGGTCGCTGCTGATCGTAAAAAAGGTCCGCTCCGTTTCATCTTGCTTTAACTTTTTCTTTTGCAGGAGCACGTGAACCTGGTGGGTAGAGACGGAGAGAACGGGCCGGTCCTGGTCTCGGTGAAGGCCGAGACGGTTGGTGGACAGGAGCACTGGAGGGTCTTATTGCGATTGCGAGCTGGCTCGACCCACGAATTGGTACCAGCCGCGAACCTCGGCCCGAATCCATCACCCGCGAAAATGGTCAAGGTGAAGTATCTCTTTCTTTGATGAGAATATACAGTGCCGTTCAAAAGTTATACGACCGTAACTCTTTTTGGTAACGTTTAACCCTTTACGAACGAGGCATCACCGATCTTAGCATAATTCACTTTATCTACTATTTTTATTTAAAATATTTTTTTTCTAAAATATCTACTATAGCTTTATAATTTTTAAGTAAGGATAGTTTTACATGGAAATGAAGTTAACGTTGTAGATAAAAAATATGAATATTTATGCATATCTATCTTTGTTAATAACGTAGATGACATAACAAAATGGTAATTATACTTCGCTGTTATTTATAGAAAAAACAACGGGGCAAAGTGCCAATCGTTGTTATTATTTTCAGTGAAATACAATAAAAAATTTTTTTAAAAATCAAACTGTGAGCATCTATAACTTAAATTTTGTTTTTATGCGACAGAAATTTGAAATAAATGGAGAGATTAAGAGGTAGTTTTTGATGGTCCTTTCATCTTGAAGCATTGTATTTTAAAGATAGCAGTAAAGAAAAATGTTGCTCTTGTTACGACGACCAGACATCAATTTATAAAATGAATACCTTTTCCTTTGTCATGGTGAACATTCGGTTGGGTTTGTGCCAACAGCTCCGAGGAAAATAAGATTGACGTTGGATTTTAAGAATACTTTAAAGTTAGATGGTTAATGGATCGTGGAAAATTTCTGTTGTATGTTTTTGTCCCATGTAAAATTCAAAGTTTTTTTTTTTATATTTGGAAAGTTTCTGAAATTCAGATTGAAAATTATAAAACTGGCAAGTTTTAATGTTAATTATAAATCATTTTTGGTGGATAATTTCAAAAGTTTCTGAAGCTAAAATTGAAACTTATAAAAATTTTAATTTTAATTAAAAATGATTTTAATGAGCGACGACTAAAGCTGTAGAATCAGCGTCGAATCAAAGGGAGGTCTAAGAGAGGCTACAACCCCTTTTTCTTTACGATTAAATGTTATTCAATTCTACTTAGAATAAATTTTCATTTTTAAACCAAGTTTATCAACCAAGGTGGTCCTCAAAGGATTGACAGCCCCAGGCCCCAGAAATCTTAATCTGGTCTTGTGAAATGGCTTTGAAAAATGAAGGAAAGCTATTAGAAAAAATTGTTACATTATTATTATTATTTACAACCAAATGAGTAATTTGATGAACGATAGTATACATCCATTGGCAGGTGATTTACAAATAATTCATGAGAACTTTATACAATAAGAGATAGTTTATTTAACACAGGTTGTATAGAACTTCCTACTGCTTCCATAATTATGTTTCATAAATGTTTGTAGGCATTGAATAAACAGGATTCACAAACTTTCACGAGATGTTCCGGTTGTAAATATTATTTTATGATGGATAAATTGTTTGTTTTCTAATTATTACATAATTTCAAAAAATGTGTAAACAATATTTAGAATTTTTTAAATTTAATTTGCGTTCGTCTGCAATATTCTGAGACTTCAAATAAGTCCTATAATGTACGAAGTTAATGTTGGTCGCGGCTTAACGTAACCCTTTTTACAGGCGATTAACGAATCCTTGAACGTGAGCACCCTGATGCCTGTTGTCTGTTCCGGTGCTGGCACGCTAATAGCACGGTACGATGAGCATGCTTTGGTGTCGAGGTTTAAATTTGGTGTTCTTCATCAACGTGCCGGCCAAGTCACCGAGGAGCAACTTTTTGGGAACCGACAGATTACACCAGCCTTCCAGGAGTTCCTCGATTTGCTGGGTCAAAAAATCGATTTGAAGGATCACAAAGGGTTGGTAACAAATCCATCAAGACTCTAGTACAAAAATAAATTATATTAAAGAATTCCTTGCTTGGAAATGATAATGGCATAACTAAAAAAAAATGTAAACTTTAGAAATGAGGCTTTCTAAAATTTCTATTTTTGAAAATACTAAATACAGGCCTTATTAATTATTATTATTATTAATTATTAAAAGAACTGATGGAATTATAAATATCCCATTTTACGTGATAAACATAAAAATATAATGCAAACCTTGTATATTATAAAAGCAAATTTGAAATTTTTCAGTTCTGTCACTATCAATTTTATAATAGTCATCTTCAACAGGATTTTCTGCCAGTCTTTGCTTCATAATTATGGAGCATTGTTTGATCCTTTTCTTCACTATAGCCTACAAGTTTTCAATGGACTTCATGTAAAGCATATGTTGATTGGTTAAAAGCTTAATGACACCCTTGATCTTATGGTACAGTGCTCCATTATGCATAAGGATGTAATCTCTGGGAACTAGCCATTTATCCAAGTCAGCAGCAACTTTTTTACTATTACATTTATAATACAAAATAATACAAAAATAATATATTTTTATATTGTAATAAATTGAAGAAAAGGAACACATTATTCTGTACATTTCTTTTTTTAATTATTTAAGGAAATGAGACTTGACTCCATTGTTCAAGGGTTAATGACACGATTAGTTTTCTATCTAATCATATATTTATATTTAAATATTGACTGTTCATAGATATCGTGGAGGCTTAGATACTCGTCATGGACAGACAGGAGATTCTGCGGTGTACGAGGTATTTAGAGGTCGAGAAGTGCTCTTCCATGTCGCCTCTCTTCTTCCATACAGTCCTGGGGACTCGCAGCAATTACAACGTAAAAGACACATCGGCAATGACATCGTCGCGATAATATTCCAAGAGGAGCCAACTCCTTTCAGTCCAGATATGATCGCCAGCCACTTCTTGCATGCATTCATCGTGGTACAAGTCGTCGACCCCTGCACTCCTTATACCAGGTATATTCTTAGATTCGTACATACGCACCGTGTCCGTGTAGTAAGGTCGCGTAAAATTCGGGTACGTTAGTTACGAAATCGCTATTTCGAAGTTTAAGCAAAACATCCGGTTAAAATAGTCCATGGAACGTTTCCACTTGGCTGACGTGAAATATAAACTTTGCTTTAAATTTATTGCTCGATTCCATTTAATTACGATTCACAGAGGATAGCGAACCAGTAACTAGGCGAACTCGTTCACCTAGAATTCAGAATATTTATACATTCACCTTCTCTTGAAAAGAAATTCGAAAAAGTATTATTTTTCAAAATAGAATGGATCAGCTGACGTTATCATTTTGATCTATGGTTTATTAAATAATTTGGTACTGATTTGACTGATTATTAATTGAAAGTATACTTGATTTAATACTCTATCATTTATCTTATTTCTGAAAACAAGTCGTGAGTACATTTGCTTAAATATTTTCTAATATCGAATAAAATTTCCTTTGTCTATAATTAAATTAAATTTTCTATGTATCATATTGTGGATATTAATAAATATTTGACTATTCAATTTTGAAATACAGGTACAAAGTCAGTATCACAGCACGAAATGATGTTCCCTGGTTTGGTCCAGCATTGCCAACGCCAGCTGTGTTTTCCCGGGGTGTAGAATTCAAAGAATTCCTTTTGACGAAATTGGTGAATGCTGAAAATGCTGCGTACAAAGCTGAGAAGTTTTCAAAACTCGAGGTAATTATAAATTCATGTATAAAACAGGTTTCTATTGGTTGAGGAAGAAGTCTCATTGTTCACTTAATTGATCCTGTTTATATTTTCTAATTTATATTTATGACATCAGAATTTTGATAAATCACATTTTTAATTTTGTTACCATCCACTATTAACATGAATTGATTTTTTTTAATATCCTCAAATATTTTATACCTGAAATACTCAAAAAAATGCTATGTAATTCTGCTAATATTAAAACAATTTTTAAAATACCAAATAAGCTGAACATTTCTGTACCAAAGAAACTGTATTAATAAATTCTGAATTCTAATAAAATCATTTCGAAACGAACAGCTAAGAACGAGGTCAGCCCTCTTGGAGTCATTGACGGAAGAATTGCAAGGGAAGACTGCCGAGTTCCTTGGTGGAGCGATTGGTTTCGGAGGTAGCGGCCTGGGATTTGGAGGTAACTGTCCAGTAAGTCCGACTGCGAGCGACGCCTCAGGATCCGGCAGCGGCGGAAGTGGCTCCAGATTTATCGATACTGTACGAAAAGCGCTGATATCGCGTGTTCGAAATGCGTCCACCGAGAGTGTGCCCCAGCAGTTATCGAAGAAAGGCCAGTCGGAGCCAAGTCCGCCGAGTAATCGACAATCAACGACAAAGATCAGTAGCAAACGATCAGTGGAACCATCGAGTCCTTTAGGCTCTCCAGATTTAACACTTCGAAGGGATTCGGAACGCGGAAGTCCTAGCTTAGGTAGCCAAGACAGCAGTTTATCCAACACCGACAATCAAGATAGTAGTCTGGCCACTTTGCAGCAAGACGAGGTTGATCGTAGAGAATTCTCAACAACGACAACAACAGCAGTTTGCTCCAACAGTGAAACGACGCAAGAGAACAAAACTTCCGTGTCGTCTGTTCAGAGATTGACTCATGAGAACTTACGGAAACAGGAGAGGACGGAGAAGACAGAGACGACTCAGCGTGTCATTTCCGAAAGCGATGACAGCTCGTTGAACAGCGAGCTAGAACTGGACCAAGCTGTCTATCCGGACAGTGATACCGGACTCGAATCGATGAGTTCCGCGGAAACCCATGACACTGTACGATGTACTACCAAGGATGGGGTTTTAGAGAACGAGAACTTGAGGATGGAGGTCACCAGGTTGAAATGCGACAAACTAGATCTGCTCAGGCAGAATGTGGTGAGTGTTGGAGAATACATGACTGTTTCTTGATCTACATGGAGACGTTCCAAGTTACTTGTCTTAAGCATTAATCCAAGTCTTGTTTTTGTTAAGAAATTTATTGTTACTTGGTCTTATTAATAATGTACACTCAGACAGTTTCTTCATTTAAGTGGATACGTTCCAAATAATATGTCCAAATATTTTTTGTCCTCATCATAATACTTCATTAAGAACTTTGTTGTTCATTTGCCTCGGTATTAAGGTATTTAGGCAGTTGTTTAATAAACAGTTTTATTTTTCAGACTTGCCAACGCGATATAAAACGTCTACGAGAAAAGGAGTTGCAATTGCAGTCCGATTTAGCAGCCGCTTCCAAGGAGATTCTTCGATTGCGAGCTATGTTGAAAGAATGTTCGACTAGTATTCCATTGGATAATAATAATCAGCAAACGTCTACCGTATAAAGATAAAGATGCAATTATTAGATTGTAATAATTAGTTGAACACTCTGTATAACGTACTAATTCGGAGTTGCTTCTTTCAAAGAAAACTATCCGAAGAGGTATCTTGCAAAGAGTTTGAACGCGCAATCGAAATATGCTTTACGTTTTGTTTTTAAACTGTACGATTGAAGTTCTTTAGATAGAAATATTGGGTACAAATGCTGTATATTATAAGAGAAAGGGTCAGTGAAGGATATTTAAAAAAAAAAAAAAGAAAAGAAAAGAAGAGATGATTCTGCGATATAATAAATAGCGACGCGTCTTTCAATATATTCACAGCGTAGACGCTAATTGTTACTTTGTAGTAGTATTTGTTTCACCTTTAACCATTATTATTTATCTATTAATTTATTAATAGATGTAAGTTAATCTCTAATAGTCAATATAATTATTAAACGATTCAGAAACACACAAATGATACGAAGATACATGATGAAAATATGAAATGATAAAATCATTTAAACAAGTAGGTGCATCTTGTCATTATGGTAGGTAGATATCTTTAGAATTACAAAGTAAAATGGCCTTTAGACTTAGAGTTTCCGAACTTGAGAGTAAATAAACAGAAATTAATATAACATATTTTATCTGTAATAAATGTTTAAAAAATTGAGATCGTATATAAATATATACGTATATATATAACACAGTTACGGTGCTCGTATTGTTTTAGAACGAGGTAACTGTAAATTGTCCCATAAAACAGTATAAAGCGATTGGTATAAATGTTGACACGCTTATGGGCTTTAGAAATATGCGTTTTACCGATATATCTCTGACGTCTCACATTGAAACAAGGATATGTATCGTTAGTTACAGTATTTGTCACGGTAATTAATTACCGAAAAAAAAACCATTACTAGTTTTTTAGTATTAGTCCGAAAGAATTGTAGGAGATATGAGAAAAACCTCGTTAGTTAATCTCTTCCGGTTATATCGTGTTAGCCAATTTAGAATAAGAGTAGACATTTTTCTTTCTAGCCGTTCACACGGTTGTAATGATTTAGCTGCACCAAATTGTTTAACGGCACGCTACGTATCCATGTGTCAGTAACGTACGAATAGAACACGTATTATCGTTGATTGTTCACCAATACGCAAAATAGACTTAAGTGTACTTTATTATTTGCTTCGGTTAACGCACTTTATTTTCATTATTTTTCACCGATGGTATTAGTATGATTTATGATCATCATTATTACTATTGCTAATTGCTACTATTATTATCATTATTATATTAATCACCGTTGTACTTTATACAGTTTCGTTTTTCTTTTTTTTTTGTAAATAATCGGCTATCTTTCTGCGAAGAAAGATTGAAAATGTAAGGGAAAGAAAGGACAGAGGGACATGAAAAGTTCACTCATATGTAATACCAAAGTTTATCGTAGTTAAATCTCTTCTCTTAGTTTTCTACATTCCTTTTCGTACAATATTTGCCTCTGTAATCTGCGTATATATACTTCTTTCTCGAACGAACATTTTTTCTACAAGTACAATACTTTTTCTTCTACCATTGAATTTCGAGAAAATCTTTGTATGCCTTTACAGCTACTTTGCAGATACATTACGATTATCACTGCCTATACTGTGTCGTTTTGGAGTGTACCACGTTTACATGATACTTCTGATGTGTTGTTCATAAGATACGACGTAATATTTTGCATTAATTCTATTTAATTAATGTCGAATGACTCATTATTTATGAATTTTCAACTGCAAGTAAAAGATAATTCAAAATTACTCTTTTTCGACGATTTACCCTTCGAGTTGTTTCAAACAATAACGTTTGTAAATGCTTCTAAAAAGTACACACAAGAATCAGTAATTATTATGAACACTCTCCAGTAATACTATTTTTAACGGTCATAAAAAAAGCAAGCATGCAATATATATATATTTTATACGTTTTACGATCAATGTATTTTTACAAACTGTTTCAGACTGGGTGTAAAAGATAGCACACTCGAACGCTTAATTTCTTGGAATTTATAAAACAAGATATGTTGTACGTAAAGCATTCATTTCAATTGTAAAAAATGTTGAAATGTTTAACATCTTGCTGAACGTTATAATACAGTCACTTTTAAACGAGTATACACACGCACACGAAATAATAAAACTGACGATGCAGAATACATAAAATGTAAGAAAGTTTGAATATTTTTAGAAAATGTGTTACATTATCATTAGTATCTTAAACATCTCTCTACTATTGCTAATTAAACTTCATGTATATAACGTAAAATCGATTTAAAAAAAGAGCGTCTCTTTGTCTAAAAATTTAGAAAAAAAATAAAAGACTAAGTTTACCATTCTCTAGTGTGATTTCTATGCTGGCCTTGCAAAATCAAAGAAAGATTATCTATATTACAAAGAAATATGTGTTATTATATTATGAGAGGGAGAGTGAGTGAGTGAGTGTGAGAGAGAAAAAATATTAATGCTATAAATATATATATATACACACATATATATATATTTTGTATTTAATATTAATCGCCCAAATTTAACAGAACTGCGAATACTATTATTATTCTCTGATACTATGACACGAAAGTATATATTTCTTATGACTGGTGTAAGTATTCGCATTCTATTTTTTCTTTTCTATGCACGACTGTCAACTTGAAAATCAGTGGTAATGATGTTCGCCAATAAATAAAACGATTTAAACCAACCGTATATTGTTATTATTAGGTTGTTATAAATTATCATTTTCGAAACATTGATTATATAAATTCCGTCTTATCGCTTCGGTCCTCCTAAATATTAAAAGGCTCTTCCTCTTCCGGCATCTAAAGTTCTTCAATTCTGAGCTTCTCTGGTTTTTCCAAAATAGAACAGACAGCCTCTCATTTGGAATCAACCTTCTCGCCCCAAATTCTCAAAATAAGAAGTTGTTGTCCTCAAAACATTGTATAGGAGTCGAAATTTTGTCTTTTGCAATGTGTAATGAACCAATTTCTAATTTTAATTTGCAACCCCTAACAGCGCTGTGGTGGAATACCAAGTGTATAGTTGGTATAGTAGGATGTGACATGATATCACCGACGAGATGATAATATCTAGACTGAAGTAAGAGCGTCGAAAACTTTACCGACAGACCCTAGAAAAATCCCTAGACGCGAGTTTTCAAATTACGTCCTCATTTCTAAACAGAATGTAAAAAATTTGAGGGACGTGTTCAGAAGGTTCTAAAGAATATTTGTCTGGTCCTTACTATCTGTCAACGGTCAAGAAAATGGCGGATCGGACTCACCTGCATTGATTTATTCGTAATATAAACATTTCTGTTAATCGTACGTCCAAATAGGGACCAGACTGATATTCTTTGGGTCGGATAGAATAAAACGAGCACCCAAGGGATGATGTACAAGTTTCCAGGTAGAAGTAATTTGAAAACTACGATTTCGATGACTGTTCACACGCGAAAGACGTCGACAAGGTAAAACAGACCAGAAATTTAGTTTCTCGTTCATTCTGTAGGGCGCAGTCCGTTCGTTTGATTAATAAACAATTGTAAAATTAAAAATAATAATTAAATAATTTTTAATAGAATAATTAAACAAAATTTTGCAATATACCCACACGGAAATGTAAAGAAATAAACAATTTAAATAGATATAACAATAATTTGATTAATAAACAATTGTAAAATATAAAATAATAATTAAACAAATATTAACAAATATCAGATAGAAATAGTTAAATCTGCGGAACCGGTAAAGCGGAACGTCATGCTTGATTGCGCGCACCGCGCGCCGGTACATGCGCGACCTGGAGAGAGGTCAAATCTAATCAGTCTTATCGCGACCGCCGAAGGATACGGATCGAGCTGTCAAACATATACCGGTACGGGTTGACACTATGGATATTCGTGCATGGATTTATCAGTGTGTTACCACAAGTGTTACTGTGTGTGCCTATGGTGTTTCCTATAGTGTTTCCCATAGTGTTTTGAAATATTTGTACGGATATATTAGCACGTTTTATGGTGTGGTCACCCATGTGTTTTGACATTTTTATACAAGTGCATTAGTGTGCTGTGTGGTGTGATATCCCATTTACCTGCATGTGCTTTATTGTGTTTTATGGTGTGGTTTCCTATGTGCTTTGGCATATATTTACGGATTTATTAGTGGGTTTTATGGATTGGTACCCTATGTGTTTTGGCATATTTACACGGATTTATTAGTGGGTTTTATGGAGTAGTACCCTATGTGTTTTGGCATATTTATACGGATTTATTAGTAGGTTTTATGGATTGGTACCCTATGTGTTTTACTATAATTTTGCAAATATTTTATAGTGTTCTATGGTTTTGATCTTCGAGTGTTTTGGGATGTATTTGCATGTGTTTTACCGTGTTTTATGGTGTAGTTATTCCCATATAGTTTTGCATGCATATTTTTGAATTATCCTATGTATTAGCATATTAACTACAACAAATTGAGAGAAAACATATATCGTTCAAGAATCGTGATTTTTATGCTTTCAGATGAGTGCTTTGGCCAGTGGGGATACCGTTTCTTTGACAAGCCAACAGACGAGCTATGGGTCAATCTAACAATAAGATGCGTGGCAAGTGCAGTGATGCAAGTCAACGATCGGTGAGTCGCATGCTTTAAAGTTCCTCCGGTTCCCATCATGTCGTAGGACGAATGGTCCGTAGCGACACGGGAATTGGTTGTAATTTTTATTTTTTGAGCGAGCATAGTGACCCACGGATATCACTGTATCATTTTATACAATGATAATCGTGCAAATTGCTTTTTTGTGTATTTTATGCCATAGCTCAGGATAGGGTTTTCTTGTACATATTTACATATATAGATTTCGAGTTTAAAAATGTAGAGAAGTCGGATGACCCTCCGACTTCACAATACACTTTCCTTTTTATATGTACAAGAATTTATTTCGCGATGAGCGGATTTCAATATCAAAGTAATAAGCATGAATACTATTAATTATTATAACTACTTACTTTGATAACGAAATCGCTCTTGAAATTGAAACATTTTTCCGATTTTACTCGTGAAATTAGCATCAATTTAGTATATGGGCTGGCCCCCAGGGGGGTCGATATTTGCTCTTCAAGCATTGTATAAAGTTCCCCTTTCGTACTTGAAATTTATTCTGTCACGTTTTCAACCCTAAACACTCATCATTCACACTTCAGCCTCACGAACTCTATCACATAATCATTTATCCACCCAGTATAGTGAAATATTAGCCCGTTAGATGTTTATGTACTAGTCATGTTTTTAGATCAGGGTTTTCTATGTTAATTAGTGTTGCGAAAAATTTCCAACGCGAGAGTAAATATGACAATGCACTGACTAGTATTTGGTGGGAATCCTTTTGGTTTTTAAACTCAATCCAATATTTTATTTATTTAATCAAATTAGTTACAAGGATTCCGCGGCATAAGACCGTGAAACACCATCTCATGGGAGATAAACCCATGCATTACTAGGCCTTTGCAGGCGCAGCTTTAGAATACGGAACATATGAAAATATGTTACCATATTCTAAACTGTAGTCCTTTTGTCTATACTATGGGCGTCCGTCAATCTGACACCGTTGGATGCAACGAGTTGGACGGGCGGGTAGCGCTCTTAGCGAAGGGGTGCATCCTGTCCTGGCGTTACGACGTCCAGGCGGGGTGGGTGGTATGTAGCGTCGGGCGCAAGTCCAGGGGGCCTAAGAACCTCCGTTGCCAATTGATATTAGCAGTGCACCATGTTTTATGTCATAGTTGCTCAATTTTGCTTTTCTGTATTTGCTCTTCAAGCTTTATATTTGCAAAGTCGAGTCACTTTTATTAAAAATAAAACCCCCTGGGGGGGCCAGCCCATATACTAAATCGGAGCCGTGAAATTTCGCCGATATTCTTACTTTTAATAAAGTGAGAATATCATCTTTAGTTTTTGCTAATCATACGTTTTAGCTTAGGCATTTCAGCACACATGAAGAAAACTGGTAGGTGAAAATACCTTTGGCCTTGTTCATTTTTATGCCCAAAGCTCATTCGGGTACTTAGATGTACTCGCGTGGGTGGAGGGCGGTGGACAAGGTTTAGTTTTAAGTGTAATACATTTTGGCGACTGACAAAAGTAGTGAACCAATAGTGAACCACAATAGAAGTTCCACATGTGTGTGTGTGGTTAGGATGTGGGATTTGTATCGTTTATTAACAATCTTAACTTACTATAACATTACAAAATACTTATCAAGAATAAATTGAAAAATTTTTACATTAGATAATTCAATATAATACGAAAATGAAATGTATTACTTTAGCATAATGTTCACTATTATTTGTCAGTCGATTTCAGCAAAAAGGTATGATTTTATTAGAGTGTGAAAGTTGAATTGAACTCGGGTGTCGGAGGCGTCCCGGGACGTTCTCCCTAGGTGTAGGCATTTTTGCACCCGGGTGGTTGTATGAGAACCGTGGAGTGAATTTTTGTGAGAATGATTTTTGCCCTTTTTTAAATATAGCGATAGGCAGGCAGGTAGTTTACTTCTGGTGTGATTGAGTTTAGTTTATAAGTAGGCAGGGCCAGAGCAAGCTTTCATGTTTCTCTTCGTATTCTCCTCTAATACGTGAGAAGCTTGTATCTGGGGTTGGGAAACCAAAAATCAAGAGAAAAGATGAAAATGCAATTTAATTAATTTATCAATTAATTAATTTAGCATTCACTCTTGATTTTTTCAAGGCCAAGCCTTATTAGTTTGTAAGTCGTAGTCGTGGTACTAGACCCGATTACAAAAATGAAGTATTAAAGTGAAAGTGCCGTGAAGTAAAGTGAAGTGAAGTGAAGTGAAATTAAAAAGTGTTTTGTGCTTGGACATTTGCAAAAATTGTGCAGGTATGCGAGTAGCGATTCAAGGGATCGTTGCTCGTTTACGTGTTACGTTTTTACAAATGTCTGAGCAAACGTAAAATTTTCGCGAGTGATTTTTGTGAGGCTATTGCCGAAGAAAGAAGAGGCTATATGCTGAAGAGCCCCGGCAAAAGCCCAGAAGAGGGGAACTACTAATGGCTCTCCATCTTCGGATGGACAGTCATTCTGTCACTATGCTCGCTAATTTGTTTTTTCATTTTTTAATTTTTTTTTTGTATGATCCTTTTGCACATATCGTCGAGAACATATTAAATTCGAAATTTTACGAGTTCAACAGCCAGCTCGTTGAATGGTCAACTCGCGTTTTTATTTCCCCTATTTCCTTTTTCTTTATTACTTTATTGAAATAAATTATTCTTTTCTTATTGATTTGCACATCAATTATATTTCATGTTCTCATTTTAAATAGGTTCAATTTATTTAAAACATAGTCTGGGTGAGTTCTCATTTTATTAAATATCTCTGAGATTGTAATGGTAATTATATTTTCTATTTCAGCATTTTATTGTTGAAAGTTTTATGTTGTTTGTTTTGGGGGGTTTTATGATTTTAGGGAGGTCACTATTTTATTTCAGGAAATTATTCTCCTCATGTATATAATAATCATCTTTTCTATTACAGCATTTTGTTGTTCACTTGTTATTTTCTTAATTATTGCTGAAATTATGATGTTAATTATATTTTCTATTTCAGCATTTTATTGTTGAAAGTTTTATGTTATTTGTTTTGGGGGGTTTTATGATTTTAGGGAGGTCACTATTTTATTTCAGGAAATTATTCTCCTCATGTATATAATAATCATCTTTTCTATTACAGCATTTTGTTGTTCAATTGTTATTTTCTCAATTATTGCTGAAATTATGATGTTAATTATATTTTCTGTTTCAACATTTTATCGTTTAAATTGGTATTTAATATTATCTCTTTTTGAGAATTTTATTGTTTTAGGTGGGTCACTAATGTAGCCACCTCCACGTGGTGTGACCTGGTAATTGATATCGTTTTCTAAAGACAACGTTTAGAAAGCGATATCAAGCTAAGAGCTACAATAAAAAGATTTATATATTTTTTAATTGGGAAACAATAGTTTAAATTCAGAGAGTATTTTCGGGATTGCAATATTACCATATAGAAAGTTCAACTACAGTAATTTTATAGTTCCTAACAAAGGAACTTGTATGATTTCTGACTAATTACAAATGACTAATTACCTCCTTCTTATCAAAGTCGGTTAAAAATAAAATAAATAGAAAATCACAAAATATGGAATTTAGAAAGAACGAAGTTGTTTGATACGCAATGGTAGAAAGAAATCAACCCTAGCGAAGATATTTCAAGCAGAGACGTTGTACATTGGAAAGGCCATGACTTTATCCATGACTCTGGTCAGGCGCCAGATCTCGCTCTTATCCACAGAACACATAATTTCTGCTTTTCATTTGATAGAAATTCGCAAATATTTTTCACAAATATTTTTCTTATAACAATTTTCGAGAGGAATTCATTATTGAATGAAAGTAAAAATTTGCATAAATGGTGGGTGGATGGGATGAGGTAGGGCGGGTCTCCAAATCACAGCAACCTCCTCGTGGTGAGAACTGGGCAATCGTTATTATTTGATGGTTAATTAATAACTGTATCATTATTTCTATGGTACATTTATTAATTATACAGCAAATAATACGAGCGAATTGGCTGCAAAATTTATGCTTTTTTTCTATTTAATCTCTGTTATATATTTTTCAAGAACTATGCCTTTCAAATTCTAAAGTGTATCACATTGCAATTACAATTTTACGGAACGAAAATTAATAATAATAAATGCATGGTCAGTATTGTTTAATTATGTACTGCGCACCGATGACAAGATGTCCCATGAGAAGCACGCATTTAAATTTGTCTCATGGGACATCTTGTCATCGGTGCACTATACTTATACATATAGCTATCGTAGCATACACGTGTCATTTAGGTGTATGCGAAAGGTGACGTAGTATAGCATGCCGTTAGTTGATAGGGTTGATAGCATGCGGTAATTGAGGTGGCGCTTAAATCAGTTTCTTTTCGGCCTAATTTTCGATGAAACGTTGACTGTTTTACCAACGCGTAATTCGAAGTTCGGCCTCGACGCTCGCATCACCTTAACAATTTGTATCTTAAAAAATTGCTCCCCATTTGCCCCCAAAATGTTGTTGCGTATTTGCCGGTAAGATATGATGTCATAAATGACAGTTGATTACATCCACCGAGTGAAAGTAAATGTCAGCGACATCTGTCACTTGTAATACCCGGCGATATCTAGGTCTATCATATACCTTGTGTGTGTTAATACAGGGCATCCTCATAAATCACATTTTTCTTATCAGTGGTAATAGATCTGCGCTTATCTACCGGGATTCCCTGTTGTAAATACTTATCTTTATCATAATTCGGTACTTCCCCATTAGATAACGAGGACTTTACCGTGTCTTGTAGCGGTCTTTTTAAAAATTAGAGCGATTCTCAAGTCTTGGGTGGCCCAGCTAAAGTTTTTAATAAACTTAACCAATCATATCTTAGTGTTAAACGCATAATTGTAGGATTTAAAATCAATTATGATATTATTATCACCTAAAACTTGCTTTTCTTTTTCAAAGATAAACAGTTTACTCTAACGTTAGTTTCTTCATTTAATGGTAGATGGCTCTTAAGGCGATATTTTTAAAGCGCGCTGTAATATAAAATTAAAAACTATATAAAAGTTATGTTTGCACCTCATCTTATCTTCAGCTTTATTAGATTCATTCGACCTTAGCAGTATGATAACATTGATAATTGATATACAAATTAATGAGTTATAAAGCGAATCCTCTCCCCCTTGGTGATGATCAGAGACGATCTCATCTGTGATACTAGCGCCACGAGCCTCGGTAACAAGCTCCTCCACAAAGTATGTTTATTATCGACAATACGAAACAGACTGTAGTGGCGGAATGAAAATGGCTAATTGTCAGGTTCGTTGGTGCAGCAGGTGAGCGATCAATTATCGTTAATATCGGGACATTAGCCGCTTCGGGATGAACGGTGCGCAGTTCGCGACGATTCGTACGAGCGAAATCAGTGAAAATTGTGGCGATTTTAGTGTTGTCTAGCGAGTTTAATGGATTATTTAAAGAGGTGCGCGATCGAGATCACCGCTGAAAGGCTTGTTGGCTCTTTTTTTTTTTCTACAGTGATAAGAAGTTTTCAGTTTGTTAGAAACGAGCCCGACGGCGATCTTTACTCGTTTCTGGTTGTTCTTAAAGGAGGATCAATAACATCGCGATTGACAGGGATAAAAGGAACGGATGCGACGCGGTTTTCGAGATTGAGACACATCAGCAAAACCTAGATTAATTTATTACGTCCATTCAGAAAACATACGTCCACCCGTTGTTTCTCCCGTATCAGTAACCGCGCGGAAAAAAGTGATGCATGAAAAGTCTCGATATTACAAGGCACGTGTTTGTATTGGAGTAAGAGCTACTTTGTGTGTATGTGTGCCAGGTGCACTGTTGCATCCCTCTGATGAGCGCCATGCACCGTTTAAACCATAGCCGTAATGTCATCCCGAAGGCTACTTCTTAGTAATTCACAAAGGGTTCACTCTTCCGTAAAGTACAGCGCATGGATACTTTCCAGGCAATACCTAGCACGTACCTTGCTAGAGAAATATTTGTGGTAGATCCTCGGTGAATCAAGAGCATGGCTTCTGGCGCGTCTTCCTTGGATAGTGCTGGAAGTAGTGGTGAGTGTAATCTTAAGTTTTCTATGTTATGCGTTGAGATGTGTTTGTATCAGTTGTTTTCTATTGTAGGTATAAAGTAAATGAGAAAGTTTGACCCAATAAACTAACTGTTATTAAAAAAGGTTTATTTTTGTTTTAATCCTTGAAAGCAGAAGCTTGACAGTACAAAGAATAATATTTTGCTTATTATTAAACTTAAAAAGAGAGATACATTTATATAAACATTAGTATTATGCCTAACAAAGACTATTACGTAATACATTATTTGTGTCCATAAAAATTCCAAAGTAATTGATTTATTCTATAAATAATTATAATCTGATAAATAAATATTGTTGTACATTTATGTTTTAGATTATTATAGGTCGTATACAAGTAGTGTTTATAATTTCACTTTGGAAAAAACAATGAATCATGATGCTTACATGCGTGACATAGAGTTTCTTTCCTGGTGAAAGCTAGCAAAACTTCTGATTATATTGTTCTACCAATTGTAACAACACAGTGTATACTGTATAAATATAACCATTTCACTTTTACATTTGCAATGAAACGCTTACTGTAGTTATAATTGATTACATTTTTGTCCATTGTCTTTTTGCAGATGGAGCACTCAACATGGGTAAGAATAATACATAAAGTATACGGATATTTATGTCAGTTAAAGAACATTGTGTAATTATATATTTTCTTGTTGTATTTAAAATTAAAGAGTTTAGTTATTTATAGCAATTCATTGATATCAAATTTTGTTAATATTTTTTTATCTTTGCCAATAAAATTTGTATTTCTATTTTTAATAAAAGGTGCAATCTATTTTCGATACATAGATATTAAGTGTTATTATTTTCATTTTAATGCACAACTGTATTGCACTAATATGTTTTTTTTTCTATATGAAAGTTGTGAAAGCACATTATTTATATTCGCAATATTTGCATTATGTTCATTATTTTGCAATTTGCGTTGTTGGATAAAACTTATGTGTGCGGCATGCAGAAAGAGATAGTGGAAGCTATGGCAGTGTTGGAAGTCCTGTCGGTGGTCCTGAATGTTGTAGTGATTATGACGGTTTGCAAGCTCAGTGTGATCAAGCCATGCATCAGCTTCAACTGCTTAGACATAAACACTCTGATACTATAAGACGGTTTGTCCTGGTTTTTGTTTAAAGTTGTATTGCTTTCTTGATTGTGCTACTATTACAAATTTCTTTTTTTTTTTTTGTTTAATGCAAACACAAGTGTGACAGTTGTATATCTATATATAAAATAATTTATTGTGTAGGTGTGAACATACTATGAAGGAATTGGAATACTATCGAGGACAACATATAGCAGTCATGAATCAGTTGGAGGCAACGTCACAGGAAAGTTCCGCGTTGCGGGGCAAATATGGAGATCTAGTGAATGATAAGCAACGTCTTGACCGGGAGGTCCAGGCGTTGCAAAAGGAAGTGTCAGATTTAAGATGTCAGAATCAAGAAGTTCTTGTTTCTGATGCTAGTAATAGTGACACAATGAATCAGCACTACTTATCTGCGCTTCGAAAATATGAAGCCGTTAAAGACGAATATGATGCTCTTAGGAAACGGTACGATGATTTAATATCGTCGCATTCGTCGGCCGTTAATAAGGCAAGTGTAAAATAATGGTTATATTTTGATATATATTATTTAACACGCAATTGATAAAACCTTGTATATATAATTAAATATAGTTGGAACTATCACAAGAAGAAGCTGTCAGATTAAAGAAACAGTATGAAGAGATTGTTCAGGAACGTAACAGCGCAGTACGTGAGCGAAATGGCTTGAAACAACAATGTACTGCTGCAATTAGGCAATGGGATATAGCATTGAGGGAAAGGAATGAATATCGTGAAGCCTTAGCTAAAGTACAACAACAGCATGAAGAAGCTGTTAAAGAAATTAACCATGCGATGGTGCTACGCATGAAAGCTAGTAAAGATATGAAACGATTGACAGAGGAAAGAAATGCTGCGTTACAAGAGTACAGTTTAATTATGGGTGAACGTGATACAGTACATAAGGAAATGGAAAAACTTGGTGACGATCTCACGCAAGCATACACAAAAATCACACATTTAGAAAATCAGAATAAACAACTTATAGAAGAGGTAAAGTTAAACTGATTAATTTTATTAATAGTTTTATTTAATTTTAAACTACAAAATTTCGTTTGTTTCCTTTATTTTCAACTTAATACCGTACTGATCGAATAATTACTGAATACTTGAAACTTAAGAAGGTAGAACCAACTGATAAATAAATAAAAATACCGAGTTTTCCCGATAAATGTGACGTCAGTGACACACAAATGACGCCATTGTGACGTCACCTGCCGGTAAAATGTTAATATATGTATTATAAAAGTTCGATCACAATATTTTTTTAAATAATTGAATTAAATAATTCGTAATCAGTTTTTTCCTACAATTTTTCTATTGATTTTCAAGTATTTACATATTGTATTAACATGCGATTATCGTTTTTGTTTTCAGAAAAAAGCTTTATCTTATCAAATTGAAACGCTGCGAAGAGAAATTTCATCCGCTCTGCAAGATCGCGATGAAGCGTTAAAACAATGTAACGAGTTACGTCAGAAGTTCGGTGATTATTCTGAAGGTTCGAAAAGAGATTATAAAAATCACATGGAATTACACTCGTATAACCGCGAGCGAGATAACTCGAACAAAGAAGCCGAAAGGGAGAATAACACGGTTGATTACACTAAACGTGACAAAGAACGTATGGATAACTTGGATCAGGCAAACTTGGAATTGGACAAACTGAGAAAGTCGGTAGATAAATTGCAAGCGGAACTCGAGGAAGCCCTCCAAGAAGCAGAGGTATCGAAACGAAGAAGAGATTGGGCTTTCAGTGAAAGAGATAAAATAGTTTTAGAGAGAGAAAGTATTAGAACTCTGTGCGATAGATTAAGGAAGGAACGTGATCGTGCGGTATCGGAATTAGCCGGTGCTTTACGCGATTCTGATGATATTAAAAAGCAACGAAACGAAGCTTCAAAGGAATTGAAGGATCTCAAGGAGAAAATAGAATCCGGTGATCATGCGCTAAGGGCGAGTCAATTTTCCCAAGGTTTAACGCATGCTCACGATTCGACGATCGACACCGATGTTAGCGATTGGGAAATTCTTACTATTCACTTGGATCTTAGTAGACTTTGCTTGGACTCGGATCGCGATTTAGGGTTAACGTTGGTTGGAGGACGCGACAATCCGTATTATCCGAACGATACTGGAATTTATGTTGCTCAAATAACGTCAGGAAGTGCCGTCGATGGCAAACTTAGAGTGAATGATTGTATTATGCGAGTGAACAACGTGGATTGCACATCGGTGTCCACGCGTGTAATAATGGAAACTTTACGTACCTGTTCGGTGGGATCAGCTACATTAACGGTAAGAAGACGGCGTTTAACCAGACGATCGTTAAGGACAACGCAATTACCTGTTGGTTCTGTTCCTCATGGGATTTCTTTGGAACTCGGAGTGTATATTTCGAAAATTTCTCCTGGTAGTCTAGCTGCTAAAGACGGCAATCTTGCTGTAGGGGATAGAGTTTTAAATGTACGTAAATTATTTTTATCGATCCGATTCCTTTTTTTCCTTTTTAATAATAATTTAACGCGTTTCTTTTCTTTTCAGATTAATAGTAAAGCAATGGAAGGTATTAATTCCAGTCACGAAGCAATGACAATTTTAAACGATACTAGTACAGATGTACTAACTATTACAACCTTGAAAGGAATACCATTGCCTTCGGCGACCAGTTCTGAAACTATGACCATAGACGGTAGTTTCGGAACGGAGAAACAGAAAATGGTAAACAGTTGTTCGCAAACGGAACAAGAAAGAATGATGTTAAAAACCGCGTCGGACGATTACGACAGGCGATACCTTGCAACGAATTTCGGTGATAGAAGTGTGTATAAAGTTTCAAAGTCGGTTAGCAGTGAAAAGCCAAGCGGGATTAGCAATGCTTGGGACAACATACGAGAGAAAATTGATATCGTACGAGGACGTAAGCATAGTAAGGACCGTGAGGAGAAGAAGAAGCGACATCGTAACTCCAGTACAAACACCTTCGAGCAGGAACAGGATGCGATCGCGGAACTGGATTCTGTAATAGAGAGCTATCACAAGAAAGCGAACAACGGTGTATTGAAACGAAGTAAGCGACGCGGAACAGAGAAAGTTGAGAAAAATGGAGGTACGTGGCCGAAAGCTAGAGGTGGGCCTCTGATACAAAATGGTACTGGTACGATTTTGCATCCACGTAAAACGAAAGAAAGGCTACCTTTAAGTGTACTCCTTAATCCTCCAAAGTATGAAAGTTATAACCTTATATCCAACCCGATTCCCTTGACCAATTTCCCGAATGTTAACAATCGGCATACTGTGTATAAGTCTGTTGAAAAACCAATACCAAATTTCATTAAGGCTGGGCCGTTATTTAGTCAAAAATCCTTTACTCCAGTGGTGCAGTTCAAAGATATACCGATAGATAAGAAACCGGCGGCGAGCGAATTCGAGAACACGGAAAATAGACTCAGTTCAACCCTGACACCGTCCGAAACGAGTATCGACTTTTCCGTGAAGTCCGGTAACACGGGAAAGGATGTAGAATATTTCTCGAAGAAGAGAGCCCAAAAGTATACCCCTAGCAACGACAGCCAAATAGACACGTTGCAGCATAACAGGGCCCAGTCGCAGCTCTATTCAGGGGCCGGTTCCTCGACGTCGTCGACCAGCGGGCCAAGACAGCAATTGACCGGTAACTTTTCATTTCCCCCGTATACGCATTCGCATCCACACCCCCATCAACAGAATTCTTTACCATCGAGATACCCTTCCCCGCCGTCTTTGCCGTCCGCACAGTCCGGGGAGTCGATAGGACTTCCCGATGCACGATCATACTTCGAACCATCGTATAGCCCTGGCCCGCAAACAGGATTCGGCCATTTGCACACACCCTCAGTAGATTTGCATTATCACAAATCTCGCGGTCCACCGATCGGCACTACGTACGATGTGCCACCGTACACGCATGGCTACGAAGGTGGAACATTTCCGAGAAAAAAAGAGAATCAACGATTTCGAATACCGTCAAATCCTAGTGTTACGTCGAAAAGCAGCGTGGGTAAATTGTCGACCGGCAGTATAGAGAGAACCTCGGAAAGAGGAAGCCCGATGCCAACATTCCACGTGGAAGTACTTAGCCCGGGTACCGGTGGCGGTGGCGGTACCGGAGGAACGGTCCGTGGAAGTAGCAGCAACAAACGGTCCAGCATGCCTGACTATTGTTACTCTCAGCCAAGGCCGGCACCTGGGGAACTTCGTAGAGTTCACATAGACAAATCGGTCGAGCCGTTAGGTATTCAAATTTCTTGCTTAGAGAGCGGTGGTGTATTCGTCTCCACTGTTAGCGAGCACAGTCTAGCTTCCCAGGTCGGTCTACAGATCGGCGATCAGTTGCTCGAGGTCTGTGGCATCAATATGAGGAGTGCTACTTATCAGCTTGCTGCCAACGTGTTGCGTCAGTGCGGTAATTCCATAACGATGCTGGTGCAGTATAGTCCGGACAGTAAGTACAGTGTTTTTATTAGAATACGTAGAGTGTCCCTGTCGCAAGCTGCACTTTATATAAATCTTCTCGCACTAGTCTTGTTAAATGTGATCATTGCATGGTTCGTATTTCGACGGAACCCAATGGCTTACACGTTTCATTTTTCCTTTACCAGAATACAACGAATTAGAGGAAGGCTCCGCTTCCTCCAGTTCATCGGAAGCCGGTGGTGCCGAAGGAGGTAGCCGTAGCGGGTCGCCTACACCGTGCAATAGTCCCGAGGCTCCCAGAAAAACAACTATAGAGCCATTGGAAAGCTCGGAACCCGAGCGTGACGCCTCTAGTAGTTTAAGTACAACGCGCGACACTACCAACACCCTGACTATCATGCGTGAAACGTCGAATACCTTGGAACCACCTCGCACCATCCGAGAAAGAGACATCAGAAATTCAGCCTCCTTGGAAGTTAGAGGCACGCAAGAAAGGGAACGAGAGATTAGAGCGTCAGCGTCGTTGGACATCAATATCAGGAAACCAGAGCTCCGTAATTCGGCCACCTTGGAAAATATGCGTAATTCCGTGACTCTTGACTCGTTACGTGGTACCGGGAACACACTAACGCGCGCGCAACTGAATCAAGCAGCGACCACGTTGCAAAGACAAAACGCCACCGTGAGAAGTCCAACTCAGGAAGATCAGAGTCGTAAAAGTCCACCGCCGAGCGAACCGAGATACCTGTTTATTGAAACCAGAAAATGTTCTAATCTGGGCATTTCGTTGGTGGGTGGAAACGGTGTTGGAATATTCGTACACTCCGTGCAACCGGGTTGCCTCGCCGAAGAAGCCGGTCTACGTACCGGCGATAGAATTCTGGAATACAATGGGGTGGATCTCAGGCAAGCAACCGCCGAGCAAGCGGCCCTGGAACTGGCTAGGCCGGCGGACAAAGTAACGCTGATCGCTCAATATGTACCTGAAAGGTATAACGAAGTAAAAGATAAGCCTGGAGATAGTTTCTATGTGAAAGCTATGTTCGATCGGGTAGGTGAAGTTGGGGACAGCCTACAGCTTAGGTTTAATAAAGACGATATTTTGTATGTCGATAATACAATGTTCAATGGTACTCCGGGTCATTGGAGAGCCTGGTTGGTTGATCAGACCGGGAGGCGACAGACGTGTGGTATAATTCCAAGTAAATTCAAGTAAGCTAAAAGAAACAATGGTACAAAGATCTCATAATATTTTTGTGTATTTAATGAAGGTTATATTGTCAGGGTTGAAGAAGAATTGCTTTTACGACGGTCACTGGGTGATTTGGAAACGGATACAACTAGAAGAGGTAGTACCAGTGCAAGAAGGAGTTTCTTCCGTCGAAAGAAACATCAGCGTTCTTCTAGTAGGGACAGTAAAGAATTGTCACATCTCACTGGGGTGAATTTAGGTTGGTACAGTGATAGCGGGACATTGAACGAGGAAACTTTACCAGCAAGTTATCAACGTGTTGAAAGATTAGATTGTAAGTATTTATAACCATAAAGAAATATATTTATTGATTGACATTTAACATATTTCAATTTTTGATCTCATCGTGTGCTTGTATTTTTATACAGATCCAGCTTTAAGACCAGTACTAATTATTGGACCACTGAGCGAATGTGTAGTAACAAAATTATTGCAAGAATTCCCTGGACAGTTTACTAGGTGTCTTGCAGAAGCTATGCATTGTTCCCAGGCGACCCTCGAGCAAGGTTTACGTGACTCTCTTTATGTAGACTACAGAAAAAAAGGAAGCTATTTCGAGTGCACTACGGTACAAGCTGTCAAGGACATTTGCGAGAAGGTAGGATATTTTTTTATTCAATGCGTGCACAATATTGATACAGTTATTTATAATAAACACCTAGACCCGCAAGGTTAACTATCTAAAAGTAGATCGTATAAAACATATATAATTCTTTGAATTATTTTTATTACCTTCGATTAGCAAAAATTTTATATAAATATGTTTATTTATAGAATACTCATTGTATCTTGGATGTATCCATCGCGTCGATCGAGCGGCTTCATCGACACCAGATCTATCCTATTGTTTTGTTGATTAAATTTAAGAGTACGAAGCAAATAAAAGAAGTGAAAGATTCGAGATATCCAAGTGATAAAGTAAGTGCCAAGGCTGCCAAGGAAATGTATGAACAGGCATTGAAATTGGAAGCCGAGTATAGGCATTATATTTCTGGTGAGAATATATTTTATATAGAAATTTTATATTTAGTGTAAATATGGTATGTTGCATGTGTATAGTTTTTGTTGTTATTTATTTTAGCTGTAATACCGGCGGGAGTAAATGTTGCTTACATATGCACGCAAGTTAAAGCAGCAGTAGACGAAGAGCAAAGCAAAGCCCTGTGGGTTCCTAGAGGACTTCCCTGACGTTTAAGGGGGGGTCCCCACAAACCGCAGTGGAAATCAATCTAAATTCCACCAGGGGGCCCTTACGTTGTACGATTGTACAAAATTGTTACAAATTTGTTTATTTATGGTCTCTTAGTTGTCTCGAAATTAGACAAAGATTTCGATTCTTCTTTTTATGCTTTATTACAATGGTTGTTTCAATCGTTTTCGCTCATTTCGGTTGTGATGCAATTATACAAATATTGCAGTCTTTCTTTCCTTTGTTTTTTTACAATGGATTTTACCACTTTCAACTTGATACAAATTTTACGTTTTATTTTGGTATATTATTTTATAAACGCTTTAAATATTTGACTATGTTACGTTCAACTGCTATATCTCATTTTTTACAAAATATTGCAAAACATACAAGACTTCCATGTTGAAATACCTTACTATTTAAATATCACAGTTTTATAATAATTAATAAGTATCATTACAATATGAAATCTAGTCGATTTCGCATCAATTTCATGTTACATTTCAAATTTTGCATTTGCTTTCTTTACAGAGATTAGAGATTTTAATTTTATTTTTCAAAAAAAGAAGCCATATGATGGTTTGCACATTTCGCACACGTCTTTTCCTTTTAATCGATGAACTTCCTGCGCAAATCGTCACTCGTACTACCAGCGAACGAAATAGCTTTGTCAACTTGTTATTTTGCTTCGAACCTCGATCAATCGTAATTTTTCAATAAATCAATGAAACGTTACGAAAATGAATAGTAATTGGTGCGAGACCATAAATGAATTGGTGTAGCAAAGAAAAATATTCGTCGTACCGTGGCCCGCAAAACATATTGGTGGATGAATTTGTAAAGTTGATTAGTTAATTAGCGAATAAGTTTCAGCCAAGTATTAACTGGCTGCTATTATTAATCCCTCAGATCATTTCGTTGTACAGAATAATTTTTGCGTGATTAGGATTAGTGTACAGAGAATGTAATATTATAAATGAAAAAAGAAGGTTACTTATTTGTATATAATTTACTTAAAAGGAACGGAAGGAACTTACGAATTAGTTGATTATTAATTTCTAGCTTTCTTAGACGGATCCTTTAGATTTAAGGAATATTTTAGTCACATTGATTTGTAAAATTGTTTATAATCCGTTCGTTAATGTTGCACGGTAGTCGGTTTGAAGGGTTAACGTTTTTTTTTTCCTCTTAATTATCTTTAGATTGAAACAAATTGTGAAATACGGAATTGATAAACGGATGGCTCGTGTTGTCGCCATCGCAGAATTTTGTAAATATTTAAGAACGATGATAGGAGTAGATAACAGCGACACAGACTAACCTGATATTAAACGCTTGTAACAGAATAACATGTAACGATGCGCGTTACTGCTTTTTTTACTTCTTAAGGTTTGAATTATTTTTATGATCGTGTTTTTCAATGGCGCTTTGCAAGTGCAGTTCTCGAAGAAATGTATTTAAAACGCGAATACCGTACCGCTGTGTATCTACATTCAGAACATTTATTTTTCATGTCTCTTGCTCGTGTAGTCTAAAAAGTTAAATTTTATTTTCCTATCGTTCACAGTGTTTGAATGTAGATACAAATTTCGTGAGAAATCTTAAGATACTTCAAACGTATCATTTCTTCTAATGTATTTCAAGGAATTGTCGTTGCTTACGCAAAACTCCTATAAACGTCGCGGGTTAAAAAATATACTTGTCCGTATTTTAAAGCGTGAGATGAGAGAGCGAAGGACAAAGGAAAGGAAAGTGAAATGTTACTTCTTTTGTGAAACAGAAAATTTAGTTTTCTAACGAGACAATATTTAGGCGTAAGTTATTCAAAGTGAGACCAAAAATTAAAGGGATACTATGCTAATTCATAAGGATTACGATTAAATTTATTCGTACAGGAGGGTATGTGTAGATGTATACATTTTTTGATACGCTGCGAAATCATCGGTACGAATTTCGCAAAAAATAATGAAAAAAGAGAAAAGAAACGTAGACGAGTCAAAATGTGCCAAGCACTCTTGGCAGCTGATCAACAAGGAATTTATTGTGTTTCGTACCCAGGGTATATAGATAGATTTTAAAAAGCAACTGTGGACAATCTAGAAATTATAATTAGGAATTTACTAATGAATTAATAGAACGAAATATTTTTCGGGAATGGATATTTAATTCTTATTCTTTTAAGAAATAGGAAAGATACGGATAATATATTATATATTATATCTATATACATATGTATAACATACATATGTGAATCTTGGACGTTATACACGTGTAGGGTGAAGTGTGTAAAATTGTTATTTATAGCTTTAAATATATTTTGATACGCGTTAAAAATTTTATAAGAAGCATTTCCTGTACATTTCGTACTATTACAAAAATTTAAAACAAAAAGCGATGTATTAATTTGTTAAAAAATGAAATTATTTCAGTGAAACAACAATTTTCTTGATCTTCTTCTTTAGTGTCAACTACTGTACATAAAAAATAGCGAAAGATTAGGGTAATTTAAAAGTATCATTGCACAAAGTGCAGTGTCATAAGAGTGACATGTATTATTTTTTTTTAATTGAAAATTAATGTACATAAATGATTAGGAATCTACGTTTGACGAAATGAATAAAAGTTTCATTTGATCACTACTTTATAATTCACCTTACATTTAAAAAAAAAAACGATGTATAACGCGTAAGATTCATACATGAAGAGTTGAAAAGCGAATTCTTTACGTCTTCTCTCTCAGTTTCAACGCGTTTGTGAAAACTTTTGTCAGGTAAATAAGAAATGAATAGCTGATATCAAAATTCAACAGAAATTAAGATAGGTCGAGGGCGAAGCGAAACTGTAAAAAAAAAACAGTATCAGAGATGGAGAGAGAACAGAATAATATTTATTATAATTATTCTCAATCACAGCACTGTGATACGTATAATATTACTGCTTCGATAACATATCAATTTCACAATCCTTCTACATTATTAATTATACATATACATATATAGTATGAAACTCATATTTTCGGCAATACTTATATACATACATAAATGTTATATATATATATAATTAACCACGCACTTTTTAAATATTTTTCATAAGCACGTGGTTCCAAACCATTCAATAATTACAATCCATCGAAAAAGTCTCTGTATGGTTTGACAAAATTTTAACGAAAAATGTCGTTAGAGGGGAAGTAGAATTTTTCAAAATCTTAATTTTGACAATATTAAAAGTGTAATTTTTATTTATTAAACATATACAACTGATAAGTACGAATTACAAAGAAAATATTAATTCAAATTTTACCGCGTCAACGTTCGTACGCAACTGGTGGGCCTCTACAGACCTATATATACGAGGCCTCCTTCCATACATCGTCAGTCTCCTCGGGATCGCCTCCGGGGAAAGATGGGTGTCCGGGGAGAGTGTAGCCTTTGAGGTGGATCGGAAACCCCGGAACCCGTAAACCTGGAGAGACGTACGAGGAGAGGGGTAATTGTCATTTTCCCTAGAGAAACCTACCATTACATTTTACATTAGTGTTATCGATTTAGAATTATCATCAAAATTTTTTATCATGATGATATTTAAAACAGGAGATAGATTTTTTGATAAGATTATTATATGACTGTAATAAGTGACTTTTCCTCCCTTTTAATTTAAGTATTATGTAAATATTAATTTGTGCAGAAATGATATAATGTTAAATATTTTTTAACCAAATGCAGAGACTTTTCTGATGGATTGTATATACATAACACTGGTGCGTGCAAATACACAAAAAAGCAAAAGGTGTGCAATATTCGTCCTTTACTTCGAGTGAATGGAATTCGAATGAAAAAAAATTTGTATCATTTAATGAGATAATTTAAACGAATTTGATTCCATTTTTAAAGAAAATAATTTTACTACTTTCTTTCTCTCCATTATTTTCCAAGTTTAGAATAATTTCTTGATTTTAAATGCAATCGTTAAGAATAAAAAATTCTTTACAAAAGGAATTGAAGATAAAAATAAAAGTTAATTATGATTATTTAAATTCACGAATGTTATTTTGAAACTTGCAATTTTAGTTTGGAAAAATTATTTTTAGCTATGAAAGTTCGCAAATTCTGTTCACTCGAAACAGCCGCAGAAATATTTTTAAACTAGCACGCCTAGTGGTGCACGATAACAGATCAAGCATTAATTATTAATGATCATTGAAGCGTTTATGGTGATATATTACGTAGTAGCAGAGATCGGTGATCAAGTTTGAACAATAGAGAAGGTGGTAGTAATACGGAATATTAGTTTCATTTTTTGACGTATATCTATTTCATAGAAATGACGAATTTTCTATTTTTTCTTTTATTTTAGAAAAGTCAAGGATTAACAATCTTGAAATCGGAGAGTAATATGGGCCAGTATTATTTTAGAACAAAGTAAGTTGTGAAAGTTAATTTATTTAGTTATTTTCATAATAATCATATATACAATGGGCTTAAAAGGTATTGATACGCCTATATTTAAAAAAAATAGATATCGTATTGCATTACATCACACTAATTAAGAGTATATAGAATTTTTCTTTTAATGAAACTGCATTTTTATACATGCATTATTGCACTTGTAAAGAAAAGTTGCAATTGTAGAAAAGTATTAATCCGTCCGAGACGAGTCAGGATATGTTTGAACTCATTTAATGTCTCGTCTCGTTGGATGGAGTATAGTTGCTTATACTATTTAATTTTTTTTTCTATTTCTTTTTTAAACATATAATTCGTCCCAATTACTAAAAACACCCTGTTGTAAATCTCAGAATTATGGTGGTCGATATTACTACCCCCTTTTCTATATAATTCAGGTTAATGATTCTGATGACAATTTGTTCAAACAATATTCGCGACTAGTCTTCAATAGTATTCTCTATATTTTCTATAACGAATTTCTCCTCGCAATATTCCCATTGTGTGGCTACCATCGAAATTCAATCATTTTAAGAATGCCATTATATCCGCTATCTTTCCATGCGTATCCTATTGTATTTGTATCTCATTCTTCGTGTACAACTTACGTACATAACTGCGCGTTCCTATTGGCTGAAAAGAGTTTATTCTAATTTTTCAAATGTTACTTGTATCTACATTTAATTCTATATTCAACAGGTTTCGTGTCTCATGGAACATGAAACTTATTGTGAACAAATTCTTCCTAACTCGGTACTTTGATAAGTTACTATGTAATTTAACGTGTTCAAATTTTTATATGAATAACTATTATTGGTATGTACAGAACGAAATTGTATTTTTAGTGAAACTTTGTCTTATTAGATTATGTTACTAGCATCACATAATTAATATAATTACGATATTTTCAATTGTATTGAGAATATAATTGAAAAAGAGTACTGAATTCCAGAATTTCAATTCAGAATTTTTTAGATTTCATATTTGTAATTTTCGTGTTTTAAATAACGCAAGTAATGTTTATCCTCGATTAATAATTCTTCTGACTTTCGTATTTCAATCATGACAATCAATATCAAGCAATAAATAATGATACGAGTAACTGTATATTTCATAAAAATAAAGGATAAACTACTTACGTTATTCACAATTCGTGAATTTCTATTCACGTTTATTCCTGCAAGTTTTATACGTCCATAAAGTATTTCTAAACGTCCCAATCGTCTTCCATCTTTTTACAATTTGGATAATATTTCTCTCATCGAAACGAATGAGAATCTTAAAAAGTACAAGAATCTTATTTTATCTAATAATGCAATATTTATCGATATATTAATCCATAAGTATTAAGAATACTCTCTTATCAGCCAATACGTTGTCGCGATGATATCATGGAACTTTGATATCGGTTAGCTCGATAATTTTACATTTGTATTTAAATTGTTAACAAGAAACACTGCGATTCCTTATTTAACTTTTCGTCGCCGAACACCATGGAATTTAATCGATTGGGCATGCAGGGTGTCTTATTCGTCTCTCCTCATTGTAATTAGAATTAATGCGTTCATTTAAAAATCTTCAGTGAATGAGTTTTGAAATGACTTAGATAATTACATAGACCAGGGACGCTCGAGTAGTAAGCTGGGCGTGGGCGTCCACCTGTGCTCGCGGGCACTGTTACGGGCTCGAAGTATACCGGACTCAAACGACTATAGCTCCCTTTGATTAGTGGTCAACTTTACAGGGTTTCCAATTTTTTTCGCGAATATTTCTATAATTTCGTGAACTATAATTTAGGACTCAAACGAATGGCAAACACATTGTCCAAACTGCGTGGAATCGACCACTAATCAAGGGAAGTTTGGCTGTATTCGTTTGAGCTCCATGTATTCTTGCCCTGGGCAAGAGTCAGTGAGAGTGGGGAGGCTTCTTCGGTGTTACATGGAAAATGTCCATTTCAAAGAAGTGCTACTTTTGGTTGCTTTTCTATAAAATGATAGATCAATAATGCGCATAAATTCAGAGACTCCGGTTCTGTAACAGATAGATTACAAAAGGACAATTTCTAAACCTGTTGACAATCAAATTTCTACATTTTTACGCATTACAGACTGTATTGTTGAAATAGTATTGCATACATAGTTGCTAAGAACCAGGGTTGGGTATTACTTGAATAATTTTCGCATCATTGTTTTTATTGAAATGATTCTCGAATAAAAATGTGAAATAAAACCAAGTTATTCTAATAACTTCGTTTTATTAGAGAATTATTGAAATCATGCCCAACTCTGCTAAGAACGTATAAAGCTAGACTGATTTATGGGATGATCGATGATCAATCGTTCGTTTACTTCATCAGCAATAGAATTTCGAAATGTTTAATACTGAAAGGGTATCGTTGTACTCCATAGGTTGTTGAGGGACTTTTGTTAACTAGCAAAGAAACGCGATGGATAATGTTTAATTTGGAAGATACTATTGTAAGTAGCAAGGTATAAGTTTCTACCGTGACAAAATTACTTTGTTTTCTAAAATACTTGCAATTTGGTACTATGCTTTTTTATGATAGTCAAAATAGTTATTTGTTACGTCAAAGTAATTGAATTTCATATAACAAAAGCTTTGAATTAACTCTATTAGTAAAGGTTAGGTCAGGTTAGGTTAAGTTGGAAACTTGAACCTTGCTACGTACGATTCATTTGTAAACACCTTCACTGCCAGGCATTTATTTAATTTTTTTATTAAAAACAATTGATTTAATTGAGAAAAATTAACACTTTGATGGTAGATAGACTTATGAATTTGATGAATTAATTTTTATGTCATTATCTTTTGTCCAATATCTTGCAACGAACATTGCAAAGGCTTCCACATATAATTCTAAAAATAAATTTTGTTTTTTTTTTCTTTTTATAAAAGATTGTAAGTCATCAGGGTGTTAAATATCCGTAATGTACCCTACCGTTGAAAAGCAATAGGATATTGTTTAATGTCACATAAATCCAACAGAAAATGACGACATATTACAATGAAAATTTTGAGAAACACTTATCAGGTATCCCAAGAAGTTTAAACATATTTTATATACTACTTTGCACCTTTATGTACACTCACGTTCAATAATCCTTTCTCAACGTGATACAAGTTTGTGAATGGCACTTTGATAGAATCTCCTGATGGTTTGGATAATTTTAAAAAGTCAAAATTAAATAATCAGGATGTATTAACACTAGAATAACCGACGTTGAAAAGATTCCAAAAATAAATTGGAAAGATAAATAAATTAGCATACATAAAAAAAATGGCATGTATGATGATATTTTTGATTTTGGTATCGCAAGAGAATCATAAATGTTAAATTGCGTTGTGGTGGTAAAAATGATTTTGTAAAAATTTGTCATTCGTTAAAGGATCCTTTTAGTTGAGAGACGAAACTCGATTATAAGTGATTTTTTTGTTAAATAATTTTTGTATTAATATAATGTTATTTCAACGATATCGAGCACAATATCGTTTCATAATGTTGTAATAATATAATATTGCGTTTTATAAATGTAATTGTACATATATATATGATAATTGCGCGTAATGTATTATTGTATTGTATAAAAAAGAGAAGGTTTCGTATTATTTTAAGTGAATCTTAAAAGATTATTTTTCATTTCGAATCGGTGACACGGTTTCTCCATATGCTTCCAGAGATGAACATGGAGGAATCGTGAAAGTAAAAAAATTAAGTTATTATTCCTTAGATTATTTATTATTTATAGTTTAAATCATACATAATCAGCAATAAACTCTACTGTTTATTCGCAAAATACGTTGTTTTCTTGTCTTCTAGAATCCTAGAGTCTAAAAATTCTAGGATTTGTACGAGAAAGAAAATGTTATCCATAAAAACTACCTCATCCCAATTACGCTTGATATTTTCTTCTACCCAAGATTTTTTAAAGACAATGTTTAGTTGTAAATAACGAAAACAAAAGTGCTAATAAAGACACCTCTTTCGTCTTCTAAGAAAGATTTCAGGTAACCAGTTTTTAATAAGAATTTTGTATTTATATTTATTTTAAACAAAGTAAACGCGAAATTAATGTTTCATAGTAGATACAATAATAATTCAGTTAATAATTAATTGCAAAATTAAACACTGTAAGGAAAAAATTTTTTCAGTAGGAATTAATATTTCATGTAGTTGATTTGGAACATAATGCAATAAAAGGATATGATGGAAAATTGTAATTTTGCAAATTTTAAATTAATGAAACTTATACATTTATAACACAAAGGTTTATTATATGTCAATGTCAATACATATGTGGTCGTATAAGTACATTTTTTTTTCATACTAAATTAATAATAAAACCGAGGAATGGAATACATTTTGAAATGAGATTTTTAGTATGAAATGCATGAATGTCGATGTTACAGAAATATTTTTTTATAAATAAATAATTGTATTTTTACAAACGTTAAAATTGCAAGCAATAGTATAAAATAAGTTAGTATAAAAATAACAAAAGTTGTTCCTTTACCGATGTTTATTACATGTTGTGAGTATAAATAATCTAAGATTATATAGATCTCATTAAAAAGTAATTAATTAGCGATAAATATAACAAAAACATGGCTTATACAATTTTATTCACGAGCCTTATTCATGTATGATTAACAAATGTCTTAAATAAATATAACAATTATTTTCATACAAAATTATATTAAGATTTAATATTTCAATCTTAACAAATATGAAATACAAATGTAAAATTGTTTCTAATAAGTATATTCTAATTATTACATATATTTATTTTTCGACTTAATGTCAGCTATAAGTTGATTATAGCGTTACAATATATTTTCTTTTGTAATAATTTTAGCAAAGTATGTTTGATAATGACCGTACATATTTACACATTATATTTGAAACAGCTATGGCAAATGGATTTCATACGAAAGAATGTCTTTCTTTTTATGAATAACAGTAAGGACTAAAATTGTTGACTAGGCTGGAGCCATTAGATCTTCACTATAACTTTATTTTATAACATTACATTGTATTTTACATGTTGAAATGAAAAAGGTTCGATTTTTGAGAACTTAGAAAACTTCTGTTTCAGAAATCTTACGTTTATGTAAGTATTTTGTATTAACAAAATTATTTGCAAAAATGTCAAGGTTCAAATCAGACGAATTGACATATATTACAATGGGTGATTAGATTATTATTTCTGTGGAGAAATAACAATTATAATATGAAGGTTTTTATACTGAATAATTTCTAATTAACAATTTTCCTCTAAAAATGCATGAAAAAATTAAATTTAGCCTACGTAATTATGAAAAGTAGCAATAAAGTCAATCATGTACTTAGTTGGCTCTAATATTATGATCACCTCCTGCATATAAAATCTCAAATTCGTTATTTAGTCAATTATAAAATCACAAGACCGAAAAATTATTAGAATAATTATTTGACAAACTTGTATTTTGAGTAGACCGCCTAGAATTTTTTAAATTTGACCACTACGCCATCTATACAAAAGTGGCGGAAACTGCTCAATAAATTACCGACTTATCGACTGAACTTTCGACAGTCGGTAATCGATCCTTCGGCAGTCGGTAAGTTAACGATTAGTTTGCGTCAATTTTGTATAGATGGCACAATGGCTGATGGCTTTGGGGTACTAGGGACCCCGAAGCACCGGCAATGCTCTACATATCGACATTATGGCATCCGGGGTGTCAGGGACCCCGATGCATCGGTGGCGCTTTCTGCCGGACAGACGTATTTGCACTTTGTATACATATAAAATGTGATGCAAAATCATTGCATTGATTCAAAAAGTATTCATGTTTGATAAGTTATTTACGTATATCGACTTCGAGGCGATCTTACTTTGATTCGTTGCTTCTGACTGCGAGGAGAGCGCGATGTTACACGAAATTCCAGGGGTAAATCGTAGCAACGACAAACGCAGCAACTTGGAAACTTGAACCAATCGCTGAAGATGCCACGACATTCGTTGTTTGGGTCATAGGCCAATAATCTGTGAAGTCTGTACTGTTGCTCGCATCTGCATCCATCACGACAGTACATCTGCTTGTTTTCATGTCTTTTGGCAAACAAAATGACAGTCAAGATAGGCAATAACAAAATTTTTATATGGTAGGCATGAAAATGAAGGAGTTTAAGAAAATTTTAATATTATATTTATATAAGTGAACAAGATTATATTGTTAAGATATTTTATTTTAATTAATTATATCCGCTTGTAATACTCACGTGCATTTTTCCCAATGGACGTACTGTTCAAAAGGGTAGAGGTTCAAAAGTGCCAATACTTCACCTCTTGTGTTATTTGCCCAAAATGGCGCTACTACTTCTTCTTTCACAGGGCAAGCATTCCTAAAGAAATAAAGCAAAAAATTATTTTTATAATTTCTATAAATTAGATTATTTTTATAATAATTTACAGTGCTTTGAAAATAGCGTTGTGTATTCCTTTCTAGTTCACTGCTATAGTGACTGGTATCCCAAATTTTAATGCAATCAATTACTACAAAAGTAGATAAAATACCAAAGCTTGAATATCATTATTATGAAACTAATAATATAAAATACGAAATTGAAATTTTACTTTTGAAAATTAAACCATCGTGTGCCTAATGATTTATATTTTAACTCTCGAACGGCGGACCATGGAGAGAGCCCCAATTTAAATTTAATATCATATTTCATATTACTTTCATTTTTTTTTCACATTGTTCCTTTAAAAATTATCCATTTAATTTTAGATTAATACCCTTGCATACATTTTATAAGTTTGGGTCACAATGGACCCAGGCTCCGCTTCAAGGGTTAATACTTACATCTGACTATATATAAAGTGAAAATGAACACGTGTAGTCAGACAAGAGTGAAACGCCCTCAAAATATTCATAATTAACGCAAATAAAATGTCACTTACACTCCTCGAAGCTTTAGAACCGGTTGTTCCTGTTGATCCTTCGCAGCGACGTCTTGATACAGTTGTCCCTCCATATTCGAAGTTTCCGGTTTACCAGCGGGTCGGTATTCCGGCCGTGGCCTGAACTCTTGTTCATTCGAACCGGAAATCTCTTCCTGAACGGTTGTTTCTTTCGGTGTGACGAGTAGATCCTCACTGACGTCGGGGTCAGACGGTAGTTCAGTGATGCCTGGCGAACTTGCAGTCGATGTTTCGTCTAAACTGATCTCCGACACTTCTGCAACTTCGTCATCTTCATCCAGTTCCTCGTCGATCCTGTCTATCTGTTCCGGTATCTCGTTAATGCTGAAGTTCTGTTCCTTCATCATGTGAGACGTGGTCACTGTTAAGGCTATCGCTTCTTCCGTCGTGTTCTCCCTTGTGTCATCGTTTGTACTGTTCGTTGTAATCGTTGTTGAAGATGTTGGTTTCGTTGTTGATTCACGAGTGATCGAAGTAGCCGGGGTTGTTGTTTCCGTTGTGGAGGAAGTGGTGGATGTGGAAGGCGCGGGCGTCGCTGCGGTCGACGTGGTAGACTTCTCGGTGGGTCGGAAATGGGGCCTGGTGTATTCGCTTAATTTTGGGAACTTGTTCAGTCGTTTCGCGGAATTGTCGTTGAACGCTCTGCTCGTGAAACCTCGACCTTCGTATTCGCTGTCTCCCTCGAAGTACTCGTAATCGTGAGAGTACTGGTATTTTCTGAACGATTAAAAAAATATTGCATTTGAAAATAATTCAAGACGACGTATCGTCGGTGGTGATCAAAGTTAATTGTTTAATCTGAAATGTAATTAATAAGTTTACCTATGTTCATCCGCGAAATTGTGATAATATTCATCGTATCTTAGTTCGATATCGTTTTTCTCAAGTTCTGCTTTTAATACATTGATGTGCCTTTCGTCTCCGTACATGCGTCTCATTAAACCTTGGTTTTCGTGTACGAAACGACGAACTGCATGCCTGAAATTAATTAATCACCAGTTTTATAGCAATCAAATAATAATTAAAATGCAGTTATTTATGCTTTTGTGACAGTAGACTCTGGTTATATTGCCATGGGGGAATATTTTCCAAGATTTTAAGCTCTCATTTAAGAAGAGAAGGGGAGATTACATATAAAAAATCACTATAATATATTTGAAATATTGAAATTAAATTGGTACTTTTGATCAACATAAAAAAGAAAATATTATATTTCAGTCAGCTGACAATATTGTTAATTATAGCGAAAGTTATAAATAATAACCTTTCTCTCTAAATGGCAAATAAATAAATTTAAGTGCAAGTGAAAAAGCAATTGAACTTCATAGGTATTACCGAGAGTAAAAGTACGTCGTTTCCCTGATACTTTTGCAGTTCGATCACGCGCGATTTTAATAAATGAAGACATTCGGCTCCTTATTTAAAATTCATGTCATCACTGATTGAACAGTGAAACTTCCAGACCGTTTCCTCGAACGTTTTGTCAATTAGTTTTGTGCTGTCGGCGACTATGACATACTTTCTCAACCCTTTAACTGCATAGTGCTCGAAAATAAATTGTATCTATTGGCACTAAGCTAGCAACAACCCTTTTAATTAATAAAATTAAGTGATCCAGAATGCGAGGGATGTCACAAAGCAGCTTTATCGAGGAAATGAAGTTTTAATATTTTACTCCATAAATATCAGAATATTTTAAAGGTTGGTTGCCATTAAGGGCTGTACCTAGTCAAAGATTTTTCTTCACTCACCAAGGATAAGAGGTGCCAGCTACCGTGCACCAGTTTTGACGTCGAAAATCACAAGGTAGATTTGCGAGTCGCGCGCGA